TCTGGAGCTGCATCCCCACGATGCTCCATCCTCCTTCCAGTGGCAATGACATGCTCTGGATGTGCTCCATCCTGCTCCCCACCCTGAAGGAGCACCCTGGGGTGCCCTGTCCTTCTCCCAGGGACAGCGCAGGGCTCCGGGTGCACCCCTGGGGTGTCCCATCCTCCTCCTCCCACTCCCAGACGCTGCCCTGTCCCTCTCCCAGCGCTGGGGACAGTCACCATCCACCCTGGCACGTCCCCAGGCGTTCCCTCAGCTCTTCCCTTGGCCACGGAGATGTTCTTTGGGGTGCCTTGGGGCGTCCCCAGGGTGTCCCCCGCCCTCCCCGGCCATGCCATTGTCCCCGCGGGGACAGGGCAGCGACAGTGTCCGCGGTGGCTCGAGGGGGGCAGTCCTGCCCCGCTTTTGGGGGGCTGCACGCCCAGCCCGGAGCCGCTGGTGGCTCAGGAGAGCCGCGGGGACAGCGCGGGGACAGCGCGGGGGACAAACACCCCGAGGGTGGCTCCATCCTTCCCGTCCCCTCTCCCACATCCCTGCGACATCCCGCTGGAACCTCAAAACCAGGGCTCAGCTCGCCATCCGCAGGAATTTGGGGTGCCCCTTTCCCACGCCGTGTCCCCCCTCGTGGGACACGATGTTTGTCACCCGCGGGGTGCCACCGCAGTTGGCATTCCCAGGGGATCCATCCACGCTTCTCTCGTTTCCTCCGGCACCCCAGACCCCAAATTAACCCCAAAATGAGTTCCCAGGCAGGACCAGCCGTGGCGTGGGGCAGGAGCTTTGTCACGGCTCCGAGATTTTCCGAGCAGGAGCCGCTCGGCAGCTTTTTCTCCATCCAAACAACTCGAATTGCCTTTTATTTGGATTATTTTTGTCCTCCCCTGCCCTCCAACCTCGGATTTTAGGGGATGCCAGCGCCGCTTGGCATTTCTGGCTCTTTCTCCCAACAGCATCCGTGTAACTCCGGACTGAGCGCCCCAAAACTCACCTCAACCCTTTTGCCTCCCCCAAAATCTTTTTGGGGACCACCCCAAATCTTGCTGCCCCCCCAGCTCTGCCGAGCATCGCCATTCCTGGATGAATTTCCAGCAGCTGTGGAGCCCCTTGTCAAGAGGAGCTGCGCTCGGGCGGGCGATGCAACTTAATTAAGCGCTTGTTAATTACTAACAAGGCATCACCGCATTGATACCTATAAAGAAGATCCCCCTCAATGGCCGAAATAATTTAAAAATGGGGTTGTTGTACTGCCAAAATCCCCCGTCCCTGGCATGGTGTGGGGTTCCTGGCAGGTAAAGGTCGATCCTGGCATGTTCAGAGCGGGTCAGAAGTTGGGGGGAACCCCCTGGCCCCCAAAAATCCCCTGGGTGCCCCCCAAAATCCCCTGGGTGCTGCCGATTTGGGGGGCTGCCCATCAGCGCTGGGTCGGGGCTGGAGTTAATGAGAGCCAGGGGAGCTGCTGCTGGTTAATTAGCATTAATTATTATTTGTATTAGCCCGTAGCTGAGGCGAGGGCAGTGGGAGGGGGGAGGTGGACGGACAGAGGGACAGATTGATGGATGGATGGATGGATGGATGGACGGACAGACGGACAGGGCTGGTACTGGCTGGTTTTGGGGTCACCATCCACAGCTCAGGGATGGTCACAGCCCCAGGGGACTGTTGGGGACAGTCCCTAAGGGTACACAAGGACATGCTGGGGGTCCTGGGGGCTCCCACTGCCCTGTCTGGGGGTCTGGTGGGGGGGGGCACCTGCTGCTCTGCCCAGGGGGGTCTGAGGGGGGCACCCCCGCTGTGCCCAGGGGTGCTGGGAGGGCACCCAGAGCTGTGCCCGAGCATCCTGAGGAGCTGCTGCGGTTCTGCCACGCCTCAGGGGAGCTGGGCCCGGGTGTCCCCGAGGTGTCACTGCACATGGCAGCACCCTGCTGTCCCCTGTCTGCCTGAAAGCTCCCGGGTGCAGCACCTTGGGGACAACTCCAGAGTGTCCCCAGCACTGGGGACACCCCCAGCATTGTCACTGGGGTCAGAGAGAGCAGCTGCAGCAGAGCCCAGGCTGAGGCCACGCCACCCCCAGGGCTCCCAGCCGTGCCATGGGGAAACTGAGGCACAGAACAGGACAAGGGGGTGAGGCCATGGTGGCAGTGCCATCGCTGTGCCACTGCGGTGCCTGGAGCGGCTCAGGCCGGGCCCAGCGCTGCCATTTATCTTCCCCGGTTAGCGAGGGCTGGCGGCTCCTAACGAGGGAAGACGGATGGCACCGGGCAGCTCCGCCGGTGCCGGGGGGGACGATGGGGGGAGCCGAATGGCTCTTCCCGGCTCTCCTTCCTTCCTCACGTCTTCCTCCTTCACTCCTCTTCCTCAGGAGAGGCAGCGTCCACTGGAGATTGGGGCGCTGTGCTGGCTGGGATTTAGGGTCCCCTATGGGAATGGGGACCCTCGCGGTGGCAGGGTGGACACAAGGGTGACTTTTAACAGGGTGAGTGTTGCTGGTGGCAGGAGTGGCCCCTTGGGGACCTGTCCTGGGGACAAAGGACAGCACTGCGTGGGGACAGCCCTGCTTCTCCCGGCGCTCCGGGACCCCGCTGCCTGCCCGCCCCGCACAAGCCAATTAAGAGCCGATTCTCGTCGCTTGTAATTAGCGGCACCTTCTCCCGGCACAGCAGCGCTTCTGCATTTCACTTGGGATTTCAGCAGCCGCCTTGTCACTGTCACCCAGCGCCGCGATCTCCCCGCGAGGCGCCGCAGAGATTTGATTACCCAAAGAATTCTGCACAATTCCGCTTCTCCGGCCGCTGACGGCTCCTCTGGCTCTGCCGCACCCAGGAAACCTTTCTGGGGGACATCCTGCCCCGCAGGGCTGTCAGCGAGGCCCCTGTCACACGCTCACGGTCCCTGCGCAGCTCCCGGGGAGCGCTGAGGGGTGCGCCGGGTTCTGTGGTTCGGTTTGGAGATGGGGTCCTGTGTCCCTGTCATGGTCCTGTACCCAGACCCAGAGATGGGGTCCTGTGTCTGAGCTGGGGTCCTGAATCCAGACCCAGAGATGGGGTCCTGTGTCCCTGTCATGGTCCTAAATCCAGACCCAGAGATGGGGTCCTGTGTCTGGGCTGTAGAACTGCACCTGAACCCAGAGCCGCGGTCCCGTTTGTGTCCCACGGTGCCACCAAACCCAAAACCGCGGTCCCGTGTCTGTTCCACGGTGCCACCAAACCCAGAGCTGCGGTCCCGTGTCTGTTCCACGGTGCCACCAAGCCCAAAACCGCGGTCCCGTTTGTGTCCCACGGTGCCACCAAGCCCAAAACCGCGGTCCCGTGTCTGTTCCACGGTGCCACCAAACCCCAAACCGCGGTCCCGTTTGTGTCCCACGGTGCCACCAAACCCAAAACCGCGGTCCCGGAGGGTCCCGGAGGGGCTCTGCGCGGTGCTCCGCGGAGCCGCCTCCACCCGGGAGGAGTGGCGGGGGACCCGGGGCACCCCACGCTACCCCGGGGCGGGTGGATCTGATTGTGCTCGGCGGGACCCGCGTGTCCCGTGGGCTCCGCGGGCCGGGGCGTGCCCTGAGCCGGTGTCGCTGTCCCCTGGGCAGGTCCGGGCCAGCGCCATCGCGCAGGACGCCGACCAGAACTACGACTACGCCAGCAACAGCGTCATCCTGCACCTGGACGCGGGGGACGAGGTGTTCATCAAGCTGGACGGGGGCAAAGCCCACGGAGGCAACAACAACAAGTACAGCACCTTCTCCGGCTTCATCATCTACTCGGACTGAGCCGGAGCGCTGCACCGGCACCCCCCGCACCCACCCGGCACCCCCACAGTGACCCCCCGGCCCCACGGCATCCCCGGGCCGTGGTTCTGTTCCTCTGCCCCCCATCTCCCCCCGCTCCTGCCCGGCCCCACGGCACCCCCGCCGCGGTTCAGCCCACGGATCCCCCTCCCCGCGCTCCCTTCGTGCCCCGAGCCCCCCTTTTCCCAATCGGGGGCTGCAGAGGTTTGGGGGCGGTAAGAGGCTGGGGGTGCCCCCCGCGCTGCCCCACGGCCCCCCCATGCCCGGCTGTGCCCCCCTTGTGCCGCCCCGGGGCGATGCCGGGGGGCTCGGGGGGCTCGGGGGGCTCGCGGTGTCCGCACCGGGCCGGGGGGAGCCGTGTCCTGTCCCCCCGCCGGGTGACAACATGGTAAAGCAGAGCTGTGATCTCTCCCCGTCTGCTGTGTGTGTCCCCATTGTCCCCACCTTGGGGACAGGGTCTGTCTGCCCCGCCAGCTCCCACCCCGACGCCGCTTTGCTGTATCAAATCAGCGCCACCCTCACACGGGACTGTCCCCAGAGCCCAGGTGACCCACGAGGGGTGTCCCCTGAGGGACACGGTCAGGCCACACAGCGTCACTGGGACCCTCCGGTACCCCCCGGGACCCCCGGGACCTTCCAAGACCCCTCGGGACCCCGGGACCCCCTGGACCTTCCAAGACCCCTCGGGACCCCCGGGACCCCCGGGACCTTCTAAGACCCCCCGAGACCCCCCGGGATCCCCCGGGACCTCCCAAGACCCCCCGGGACCCTCCGGTACCCCCCGGGACCCCCGGGACCCCCGGTACCCTCCGGGACCCTCGGGACCCCCGGGACCCCCGGGACCTTCTAAGACCCCCCGGTACCCTCCGGGACCCTCGGGACCCCCGGGACCCCCTGGACCTTCTAAGACCCCCCGGGACCCCCGGGACCTTCCAAGACCCCCCGGGACCCCCGGGACCTCCGGGACCTTCTAAGACCCCCCGAGACCCCCCGGGACCTTCCAAGACCCCCCGGGACCTCCCAAGCCCCCCCGGGACCCCCCGGGACCCCCTGGACCTTCTAAGACCCCCCGGGACCCCCGGTACCCTCCGAGACCCCCGGGACCCCCCGGGACCTTCCAAGACCCCCCGGGACCCTCCGGTACCCCCCGGGACCCCCGGTACCCCCCCCGCTCCGCCGCCCGCCGCCAGGGGGCGCAGGCGCCGACGAAACTGCAACTCCCATGGCGCACCGCGCGGGGCTCAGGACTACAACCCCCATGAGGCATCACGCGACACGCAGCCAATGGGAGCCTGGAAAGAGGGGCGAAGCCAATCAGGAAGAAGGGCGGGGTTTCGCGGGCAGTTTAAAGGCGGCGCAGGGGCAGGAGCCCGCCCAGAGCGGCGGGGCCGCGGCCGGGGTCGGACCGGGGCCAGACCGAGACCGGGACCGGGACCGGGACCGGGGCGATGTGCAGTACCTTGTAGGAAATTCAGTGCCTGTGCGAGTGTTCTGGGACCGCAGAGGAGGTGCAGGCCCAGTGGGGAGGTGTGAGGGGCTGAGCGGGCCTGAGGGGACGCTGTTGCCACCGAGCACAAAACACAGAACCAGCACACGGTACAGCCGGGATTGTAATAATTTGATTTTAACAGGGCATTCCTGCCAATATACTCAAAGGAAAAGTTTCAAGGGGTTTAACACTGCCCTGATACACATTATTATTGCAGATACCAAACAACAAAATTAAGGTCAACAGAGTTGCCATAGGCCAGAAAGGATTATCAATATAAAATCACAAAAAAGGTTTGATCATTCCCTACCTATTGATATGTCAATATCAATATGCTGGGTCAGCACCTGGTGCTGGCAGTTGGGTGTTTGGAGAAGGAAGGTGACCTGAAGTTCCATCTGGGTCAGAAACTCTTCAGGAAAGTTCCGTGTGATCCATCCTGGAGCTGCTCTGGCGGCTGCACTCCCACCCCAGCGTGGCCCTGGTGGGGCTGAGGCCATCAGCAGTGCCCCGAGGCTCCCCCACAGTTGCTCTGATTTCCTCTCCAGCTCAGCCCCAGGAGTCCCAGAGAGCAGTCCCAGATCTGCTTCCTTTAAGGGATTTTATAGAGTGCAGCACTTACCTGCCTGGCACTGCAGGTCCTTGCCGGGGGCTTTGCTGGTTTTCCCCACAGAGCTCACCCTGCAGCTCCCAGGGCACTGCCCCACAAGCTTTCTGCACTAAATGTGGTCTTTAACACGAGGGCCCCTCATTACACACCCCAAACTGTGACAAAACAACATCCCCAGACACTAATCCACAGCTGCACCCGCTGGCTGGAGCTTCCTTCATCCCCATCAGAAATCCAGCACCCGGTCCCACAGGACATCTCGTCCCTGGGTTGGGGGGACACGGCGGCTGTGGGGGTGAGGAGCTGGTGGGGTGCACCCACAGGGTTGGGGACTGTCACCAGGGTGTCCCCAGGGCTCTGGTGGCACCGGGGCTCTGCAGTCCCTCACAAAGGTGACACGAAGCTGCGGTGCAGGTGACACCCAGGGGGACCTGGACAAGCTGGAGAAGCGGGACCAGGAGAACACGATGAATAAAGCCAAGGGAAGGGGCTGCACCCGCGCGGGGACAATCCCAGAGCACGAGTGACAACGTTCCACGGCTGCCGGGCACCGGTGGAACCCCGAGCGCCGGTGACAACGGGCTCGGTCCGTCCCTCCCGGTGCGCTCCGCTCGCTGCTCCGCTCGCTGCTCCGCTCGCTGCTCCGCTCCCGGCGGGGCCGTTTGCAAAGGCCATTCCCGGTGACGAGGCTGTGCCTCGTCCCCTCGCACGGCAATACCGACCCCACGCGTGGGTGCTGCCGTCCCCGCGGGGGACGCGCTCGCTGGGTCAGTTCTGCTGAGGAAGGGGCGGAACAGGGACACGGGGACCTGCAGGGGAGGGGACCAAAGGGGTGACAGGGTCTGAGAGAGGCTCTGGGGCTGAGGGGGCTGGAAGGGAATGGTGGGATCCTTGGGGAGGCTGTAGGAGGGGGATGCGTCTCAAAGGGATTTAGGGTCTTTGGGGAGGGTCCAGGGGAGCAGTAGGAGCATAAAGGGGTTTGTAGAGTTGTCTGGGATCCAGAGAGACCCGAAGAGAGGCCGGGGTTTTGGGAGAGGCTCACGGGGAGCTCCAAAGGGACACTAAGATTGGCACAGGGAGGGGTGGGCGCAGACCCCGGGGATATCTCTCCCCCAGCTGAACCCATCCCCCCCAGACCACATGAGGACCCAGAGCATCGGACCGAGCAGCCCGGTGCCCCAGCCCCAGCTGCCTGCTGTGGGGCAGAACCCCGACCCCAGGAGGGCTCCATGGCCGTGGTGCTGCGTGTGAGACCCCCCAGCCCCCGGGAGCGAGGGGCACCCACGGTCCTGCACGTCCTGAACGAGCACACGGTGCTGCTCAGCACCGAGGAGCCCGGTGGCACCGGCAGCACCGACACCACCGGCAGCACCGACAGCACCGCGCCGCTCACCCGCTGCCCCGGGAGCCCCCGCAAAAACCTCCAATTTGAGTTCGACCACGTTTTTGACCAGAGGGCCACGCAGCAGGAGGTGTTCCAGCACACCACGCTCCCTCTGCTGGAAACCCTCCTGGCTGGCCACAACTGCTCCGGTAAGTCCCGATCCTTGCAGGGGCTCCTGGCCCATCCTCTCCCAGGCTGGTGGGCTCAGCAGAGCCCTGAATTTAATTCGAATGGGAATGAGGTGGCACAACAGCATCCCAAAGCCACACAGCCTGAAGCGTGTTGGTTCCAGCAGCGCTCGGCACTGGGAGATGGGGTGCAGAGGATGGATGTGGGCGTTGGGGTAGATGTGAGGCTGGGCAGGAGCTCCAGGTCACTGTGTCCCACCCTGATGAGAGCTCCAAAGGAGGTGCTGGAAGATGGGGGTAAAAGAGAGGAAGCCGAAATGCCTCGTGGGGAGAGGGTTGGAGGTGACCTGAGCATGGGAGCAGCGCTCCTCTGGAGATTCTTTCTGTCCCTGCTGCATTAGAGAGGCTGAAACCAGGGAGAAAAATTGCCCTGATTAGCAGGGAAACTTATGAGTTTTACCTCATGTCTTATTGTCTTATCTGTGTGGGAAGCTCTTCTCTCTTCTCTTCTCTTCTCTTCTCTTCTCTTCTCTTCTCTTCTCTTCTCTTCTCTTCTCTTCTCTTCTCTTCTCTCCTCTCCTCTCCTCTCCTCTCCTCTCCTCTCCTCTCCTCTCCTCTCCTCTCCTCTCCTCTCCTCTCCTCTCCTCTCCTCTCCTCTCCTCTCCTCTCCTCTCCTCTCCTCTCCTCTCCTCTCCTCTCCTCTCCTCTCCTCTCCTCTCCTCTCCTCTCCTCTCCTCTCCTCTCCTCTCCTCTCCTCTCCTCTCCTCTCCTCTCCTCTCCTCTCCTCTCCTCTCCTCTCCTCTCCTCTCCTCTCCTCTCCTCTCCTCTCCTCTCCTCTCCTCTCCTCTCCTCTCCTCTCCTCTCCTCTCCTCTCCTCTCCTCTCCTCTCCTCTCCTCTCCTCTCCTCTCCTCTCCTCTCCTCTCCTCTCCCCTGCCAGGACCCAAACCTTCTGCTGTCCCAGGTGAGTACTGACAGATAATTTCACCACCCCCCCCTTCTCCTCCCAGTGTTTGCCTACGGTGCTTCAGGGGTGGGGAAGACCCACACCATGATGGGCTCCAAGAGCACTCCTGGCATCGTGCACCTGGCCACGCTGGAGCTGTACAAGAGGCTCGAGGCCATGAAGGACAAGAGCTGTGAGGTCCTCGTCTCCTACCAGCAGGTTTGCTGTGGCCCAGCATGTCCCCTCCTGCCTCAGGGTCCCCAAGGAGGAGATTTGGGGTTGATCCAGAGCCACACTCGTGGTTCCTGCAGTGTCCCCTGCTGTGCTGGGGTTGGGAGGGCAGCCTGGTGGAGTGAATTTCTGCTGCTGCTTTCTGCCAGCTGGAGCTGGGGTTTTTCTCTCCTTGCTGTGCTCCACAGAGCAGTGAGGCTGGACAGGAGCAGGGCTGGGGGAGCTGCCCAGCAAAGCTCTGGGAGCTGGCCCTGCCTTTTAACCCACATCAGCTGCTCCTGGTGCAATGAGGTCCCAGAGGTGGGGTCAGGGGTACTCAGCTCTTCTCCCAGCTCCCTCCCAAAGAGTAAAACCTCGGCCTGACCTCATTTTCCTGCTCCAGGTGTACAAAGAACGTGTCTATGACCTCCTGCAGCCCCAGGGCCCGCTGAATGTCTGGGAGCAGCCTGGGAAAGGAGCCGTGGTCCAGGGTCTCTCCTTCCACCAGGTGTGGGCACAAGAAAGGCACAAGGGCTGGGACAAACTCATCTGCACCAGTGCTGGGAGAGGCTGGGAGTCCTGGGGACATGGGGTGGGGATGTCCCAGGTGCCTCCTGGCTCCTGGCTGGCAGCAGAGGTGGCCTCGGGGTGCCCGCTGCCCTGCCCAGGAGCTGATCCAACCCCTGCCCGTTCTCCCCCAGCCCACATCACCAGAGCAGCTCCTGGACATGTTGGCCAAAGGCAATAAAAACCGAGCCCAGAGGCCCACCAAGGCCAACGCCGCCTCCTCCCGCTCCCACGCCATCTTCCAGGTGAGGCTGCCGGCCCCGGGCTCGCTGCCAGTGCTGCTGCAGCGGGGCTGGAAGCACACCTGCCCAGCTGTGCCAGCACCAATGTCCCCAGGCTGTCCCCTCGGGCCTGGGCTGGCAGTGCTGCTCCCCAGGGCTCTGTTCCTGTGCTCGCTGCTGGCTGGCTGCAAAGCTGCCAGTGGATTTCAGCTCCTTGCCCGAACTGTCGGGGCTGTCAGGGCTGCCAGGGCTCTGTCATTGTCACTTCAGCCGTGCCCCTCGCTGCTCCTGGGGCAGCAGCCCAGGTGTCTGCAGGCTTTTCCAGTCCCTCTGAGGATCTGCCCAGCCATACCCCTCTCTATCATCAAGTGTGGGAGATGCTGATTGTTCCCATAGCTGTCCCTCCCTGCCAGATCCCTTCCCTGGCTCTGTTCCTGGTGTCATCACCGGGTGTTTGGCTGTGTTCCTCCCCTCCTCCTGCCTCATCTCTCCACAGCATTCCCTGCCTCTTGCCCTGAAAGCACAGAGCCCTGAGCATCTGTGTGGAACCAGTCTCAGCCCCTCTGTCCTCACAGATCCAGGTGAAGCTTTGTGACCCCACTGGTGGCCTCGCTGGGGACCCACGCGTGGCCAAGCTGAGCTTCATCGACCTGGCGGGCTCAGAGGGAGCCTGGGCCAGCACGGGCCGGGGAGAGGGGCTGTGGGAGGGCACCAGCATCAACCGCTCGCTGCTGGCCCTCAAAAGCGTCATCCGCGCTCTGGCTGGAGCCAAGGTGAGTCCCGGGTCCGGTGGTACTCGGTGTCTGGGCAGCTCTGGAGGATGCCCGGAGCTGAGCTCGGTGTCCCGGCAGGGCGGGCAGAGCCATGTGCCGTTCCGGGACAGCAAACTGACTCTGCTGCTGAAGGACTCGCTGGGTGGCAGCTGCCGCACCGCCGTGATCGCGGCCGTGAGCCCCTCCGCGCCCGCCGGCCGCGACACCCACGGCACGCTGCGCTTCGCCAGCCGCGCCCGCCGCGTCCTGCGCCCGGTGAGCACCGGGAGGGGATGCCGGGGCTCGGGGCTGCCGGGGCTCGGGGCTGCCGGGGCTCGGGGCTGCCCTTCTGGGTGCCTCCCGTACCCCCCGAGAATCTCCCAGCCCGGGCAGCTGCCGATGGATGTCGGAATCGGTGGGTATTGGTGATTCCGAGATTGTAAAAGTCTCTGTCTGTCAGCCCCGTTGCCAAAGAAGAAGACATAATTGGTCTGTGCTGTTTCAAGGTTGTTTATTCTGTTTATCTCTACCATGTTCTGCTGCCCTGCCGCAGCTCTGTCCTGCAGGGCAGCGTGTGGGGCTCTGCCCTCAGTGGGATGGTACAAACATTAAATACCACAAACTACCTGTGCTGGATTTACAATAACGTGCCAATATCTGTCACCTACGTTGGACAGTGTGTCCCCAGCCTGAACCAACAGAAAAATGCCAACACCACAGTGAAACATGGAGGGCATGAAGAAGGAGAAAAAGGACAAGACACACCCAATTCCTCCATCTTGTCCCCTCTGAACCCCTAATCTAGAACCTAAAATTTTACTTTTGCACCCGTGTCACACTTAATTATTACTCTTATCAAACACTCAGAGCTGGTAATTCATCCTGTAAGATTGAAAACTCTTTTCCATGGACAGAGATCACAGACAGTGTCTCTGGGGGCTCTGTCCATGGGGGTTCCTGACCCCTGCCAGGGTCCCAGGCCTGCCAGGGCAGCCAGAGGGAAGCCCTGGATTCCCACACCAGCCCTGCTCCAGCCCCCATCGTGTTTCACCACTGCCTCATCCCAATCCCTGCAGGGCACCGGGATGTCTCCCTGCAGCTCCAGAAGAGCCTCCCTGCCCAATCTGCAGTGCCAGATGAGGACACCAAGTCCCTTTCTGCAGGACCTGCAGGACCAGGAAGAGAAGTGAGTGTCCTTCTGTGCCTCTTCTCGGCCTGGGCAGACTGGGTTGTCCATGGTCGGGATGGATGTGGGAGCAGGGATGTGCTTGGAGGTGCTGGCCTGTCCCTGGGCCCCTTGTCACCCACAGGTGCACACACACCTCGCAGCTCAGGCTCTCCAGAAAGAGATTTACAGCTTGGGAATGTCCCATGTTCCAAGTTTGACTCTCTAACCCCAAAACTCTACCCACAGCCTCTGCCCTGATGAAATTACTGCAAAGACAAAGGAAGTGAAGGTCCTGGCACTGGAGGAGTCCACAGGGCTGGAGGAGTCCAGAGGACTGGAGGAGTCCACAGGGCTGGAGGAGTCCACAGGGCTGGAGGAGTCCACAGATCTGGAGGAGTCCACTGGACTGGAGGTTTCCACAGGGCTGGAGGTTTCCACAGGGCTGGAGGAGTCCAGAGGACTGGAGGAGTCCACAGGGCTGGAGGAGTCCACAGATCTGGAGGAGTCCAACAGACTGGAGGTTTCCACAGGGCTGGAGGAGTCCACAGAGCTGGAAGAGTCCACAGGGCTGGAGGAGTCCACTGGACTGGAGGTTTCCACAGGGCTGGAGGTTTCCACAGGGCTGGAGGAGTCCAGAGGATTGGAGGTTTCCACAGGGCTGGAGGAGTCCGCAGAGCTGGAGGAAGCTGCACGTCCCTGTAGCCCCGCAGAGCCCAGCGAGGATGCTCCAGCCCCAGGAATGCAGCTGAGCTGTGCCGGTGAGGATTTGGGATGGGGACAGTGGGGATTGTCCCCTCTTCTGTGTCTCGGTGGGACACAGCTCCCGGCTGCGGTGGCACGGGGCAGAGGAACGGGCGTGTCCCCACGTCTGTGCCGCCTCTTCTGCTCGGGCTGGAGGCGCTTTGGTGCAGCAAAGGGCTGCACTGGGCTGGGAGGGCAGGGCTGAAATGGGTTGGGGGCACTGGGGCTGCTCCGGGGGCTCCGAGCGCTCCCGACCTGCAGACAGGGAAGTGACTCTGTTTCTCCTCTGCTCTTTTAGCCGAGGCTCCTGTCACCGTGCCAGATCCCGCTGTGCCCAGCCCCGACCCGGGATGCTCCCAGGAGCTCAGCCCCGACCCGGGATGCTCCCAGGAGCTCAGCCCCGACCCGGGATGCTCCCAGGAGCTCTCTCCGCGCTCCAGCCCCGACCCGGGATGCTCCCAGGAGCTCGCTCCCTTCTCCAGCCCCAACCCGGGATGCTCCCAGGAGCTCTCTCCGTGCTCCAGCCCCAGGCCGATGTCTCTCGGGCCGGTTAAGAGAAGACCCGAGTGGAGCAGCGGTTCCTACTCAGAATATTCCCGCGGCTCCCGAGCACGGGAGAAGCGCTGGCGGTGCCCCACACAGAGCTGCCCTGAGCTCCCGGGGCCGCGCTGTGCCAGCCTCCAGCCCTGCCAAAGCCCTGGCACCCCGAAACCAGCGGCTGCAGGCACCCCCAGCCCCCTGCCCGCACCGCCAGAGCCCCGGGCAGCCCTCCCGCCCCCACTCCAAAGCACCTCTCACAGCATCCGAGCTCCAAACGCCCCCAGCTCCCCCCTGCCCCGCCTGTCCTGCAGCCCCCCGGGCATCCCCCCCTGCCCCGCCGTGCCCTTCTGGCCGTGGTTCCAGCTGCAAACCCGCCTTTGTGCCCCCTCTGTCGGCTCAGTCCTCTACGTGTGTTTGCAGGTTATGGGTGGCTTTAGGAACTAAGTTACTGTGCTTTTAATAAATTGTTCTGTCCCAAATCCAAGGGGCGACACGTGGCTGTTCTCTCCTGCTCCCCTCTGGTGTGGGGAGCCTGGAAATGACTCTTGCTCCATCCCCCTTCTCCATCATCCTGTGGGTACCTCTGCTGTGGGAGGCCTGGGCCCTCTGCTGAGTGTAGGTGAGGGCTGTGGGGAACACGAACATCCATGCCAACATCCATGACAACAGTCAGCTGAGCTGAGCTGTCCCACTGTGTCACTGTCATTGCAGTGGGATCACGGCCCTGCCACTGCACATTCACATCTCCAGCTCTTGTTTGTTCCCCATGCTGTGACTCTTTGTGTCCAGGCACTTCAGAGAGGGATCAAGAAACCGTGTGGGGTGTGAGAGGTTTCCCCACAGCCACACACAGCGCTGATGGTGTTTGCCCTGTGATTCTCAGCTCAAGCCAAGGAACATCAGGCTCCATGGGCCAGCCTGGTCTCCCCCCCAGGAGGAAGCAATGGCACAAACATTGCCCCTTTGGAACCCGCCCAGGCCTTTCCATTGAAAGCCCCTCTCATCACATTGGCCAGTCCATGGCTGAAGGTTCTCTTGCCCTCTCTAACAGGCCCCAGTCATTAAAGCACTCTGCCCCAAAAGCCAATACCTTCCCAATGGCACAGCCAAGAAGGTGTCAACCTGCCCTAGAGATCCTCCCTAAGCTCCCATCCAGCTCAAACCATGGTGAGATGTTGGGGGTTCCACTGCTCCAGCCCAGCTCCGTTGTTGCCAAGCACACGGGTGACAACGCTGCAGAGCTGCTGGGGACAGAGACAGTGACAGAGGCTTCCAGCAGATCCCTGGCTGGGCTGTGAGTTCTGCTGGGCTGGAGAGCACCTGGAGTGATGGGGACGAAGCTGCTGGGAGCCACCATACTCCTCTCCCTGGTGGATGTTCTCCAGGCCTTTGCCATTGAGAAGAAAGGGGATGTGTTCAAGAAGACGGCGTGTCCCGCCTTCCTGATATTCGAGAACGTTGCCTACTTGGCGGACATGACCTTCGAGCTGCCCTGCAAGTGCAAGCCCGAGGAGGCCTCCTCTGTGGTCTGGTACTTCCAGAAGAACCTGCACAGCCACGAAACCACGGTGCTGACAGACTTCAACGGCACCGTGGTCGTGGACTCCAGCCACGTCCGCGCGGGCAGCGACCTCCTGAAGCGCTTCAGCATCCGCGTGTTCAGTCTGATCGTGTTCCGAGCCCAGCTCGGGGACTCGGGCCATTACCTGTGTGGCACCAAGGAAGGGCTTTTCTTCTACGGCTACGACGTGGACGTGCAGCCCACCAAGCAGATCGCTGTGGCTTTCCTGGATAAGGACCAGCACGTCCAAGAGGACTACGCAGGGAAGGAGTTCACCCTCTTCACCACCTTCTGGGACTGGAGCGGCTGTGACCGCTGCGGGGTGCGGGGCGAGCAGCGGCGCATCGGGCTGTGTTACGTGCAGAGCGCCCGGCTGAAGCCCCGTTATCGCACAGCGCTGCCCAACGTCACCTCCTGCGGCTCCAGCGCTGTGCCCGCGCCCTTCCAGCGCCTCACCCGCCTCCGCAGCCCCGAGGTGGCCATCCGGAGCTGCCTGGCCCCTTGCCCAGAGAGGGAAATCCCCAAGGAGGGCGTGCAGTCCATCTCCAACATCATTTACAAGCTGGGCGAGAAGCCCGAGCTGCCCCGTGTCCCCATCCAGTACCACAGGCAGCCCCCCAGGAGTGACCTGGTCATCCGGTGTCCGGGAGCGCGGCCGGAGCACGCCGTGGCCTGGGACAAGGGCTCCGTGCGCCTCTACCGCTCCCGCTACCTGCTGGGGGTCAGGAAGCACATGAGGCTCTTCATCGACCACGGGAACCACCTGCACCTCCAGCGGCTGCGCAGGAGGGACAAAGCCACCTACTTCTGCTGGCGGCAGGGCGAGCTGGTGGCCGGCTTCCAGCTCACTGTCACCTTCCAGCCCCGGCGCCAGCGCAGCCCCGCCGACCCCGAGTCGGTCTTCGTCATGAGGGCGGTGGGCATCAGCTTTGCCATCATCGTCGGCATCTTCTTCCTCATCCACCTGTCCCACTGGAGCTCTCAGGTGTTCGGGAAAGTGGCCAAGTCATAGCAGCTCCCCCACAGGACACCTTGGGTCACCCTCACACAGGAAATTTCCAATGTGATTTTCATTTTCATATATTTTGGTTTCAACGTTTTTTTTCAATGTTTAGTTTCAACCTTTTGAAGGGAAAAGAATTTTTTTTCCCAAATTATTCTGGTAATTTTCTTCAGAACTGCCTCTGCTTTTGAGGTCTTTTTAACTCTTCCAACTCAGCACAGAACTGGGAGTCAGTATTTGTGCCTGACAGAGTTATCTTACACATCCCTCAAAGGTGGTGGCATCTCTTCAGGGTTTCAGCAGGGAGCAGGATGTGCCCTCCAGGCTCATCTCCTTTGTTTGAGGATATGACTTGAGGATTTCAGCATTCCCAAGGGAAATCCTCCTGTCTGGGCGTGCACTGTGGGTCCCAGCAATGCTCTGACACTTGAACCGTGTAGATGATAGTGAAGCAAACACCTGGTGAGGACATGAGAAGCAAAGTCAGGGAGGGAGGCAGGAAGGGACAGAGCTATGGAAAACAATCTGTGTCTCACACATTCGGGGATGAAGCAGGGTACAGCTGGTTGGGTCCTTAACGGGCAACAAACCCACCCAAAGCTCCAGCACGAGCCAGGAGGGGCTCACACACAGAGGCAGCTCCAGGCCTGACTCTCCCTGGGGACTTTGCCACCAAACTCAGCCCCCAGACAGAGCCTGGTGCCAAGCCCAGGGCTGGTGCAAGCCAGGGGAGCTCAGCCACCAAGACCCACTGGGCAGCATTGCTCCATGCCTCTGAATCCCTAAAAATGTCCCAGTAGAACCCAACGTGCTTCCCCCACTGCCCTGTAATCCCCCCACGCCCCAGATGGAGGGCCAGGGGTGCTGAGGACTGCTCCTGCATCCTCTGCAGCCCGTGGTTTGCTTGTTGGGAGCCAGGAGGCACCTGGGACCTGCCCAGCCCGTGTCCCCAGGGTGCTCTCAGCACTGCTGCAGGCACAGAACGGTTTCAGGCTGTGTGTTTTGGGGTTGCTGTTGTGTCTCCCCATTCCCACAGAGCTGCTGGAGGACACGGCTCCATGTCCAATGGTCTGAGGTGCTCATGCACTCCTTGAAGGGAGGGTTGGTTCAGCTGGAGGGTGCAGTGGGGGAGAGAGATCCCCAGGCTGGGAGAGGCCTCAGAGACTCCCCCTGGGCTCTGCTTCCCACTCCCTCCCTGTGCCACCCCCAGGCAGTGTCCCCTTAGAGCCCTTCAGGCTCCCACAGCCTCCCCAAAACACAACCTGACACCCACGGCTTCCCCAGTTATTCTGCAGCCCTTTTGCCTCTCACAGCTCCCACGGGACATGGGGAGCCAGGATTTCAGCTGAGCTGGCCTGAAAAAGGCTCTTGCTCTGGGGTTGGGCTCCATTGTGGCTTCCCCCCACCTCCATCATCACAGGGTCCTGTTGATTTATTAAAAAAATATGGATATTGATCTAGTATCGATATCTAACTGTGACGGACAAAAACTCTCTAACAGTTTAAAGTTAGAAAGTGTGTGATTATTTGACACCAGGCAGCGTGTGGGATAACTCCCAAATCCACACCGCACCTTCCAGGTGATTACAGAGTCTTTTTATCCATGCAAGTATTGAATACTCAAAATACAAATCCATATTCATCATTTTGGTACATCCCATTCCCCACTTCGTATGCTAATCACTCCAAAAGCCATTCAGCATGTGTGGTTTGTCCCTTGAAATGGGTCGGTGTCCCTTTCATGGGGAGGGGTCCCAAAATGAGGAAGTAAATGAAGTCTTCCTCCTTCTGACCTTTCTACCTTTTCAATGCAAGTATGACAAATGAACTCTTGGTAGAACTCCCATTCCTTGTCTTCAGTTGGTTTCAGAACAGAGGAGGCCACAATTGTCTTGTGTTCCTAAAAGCTCTTTGTCAGTTTGTGTATTCTTCATTATAAACCCACCTAACTAAACATTGTGCTGACAAGCAATTAATTATTAGTTAACTACTAACTCCTAACTTCATCAAGGCCTACTCATTTATTATTCTTATTTTAATTAACTCTAGTAAGGCTTATTTCTCTTAGCTCCTCAAAATCTCTAAATGCCTTAAAGTTTACATTTCACTGTGGGGGCCTCTGCACCCTCCTCTGAGCTGGGGGAGGTCTGGGCACCCAGTGAGGGGTGGGGGAACCCCCTGCCCTCCTGGCACCTGACACTGTACAGTGATGGGCAAAGGTTTGGTTCTGTATTTCTCCTCTGCCTCATCACTGCCACCCGTGTGCCACCCCCACCCCGGGACAGAGACCCCCAAGCACCCAAGGCAGGGACCCGTGTTCCCACCAGCCCTGTCCCTGTCCCCCTGTCCCTGTCCCTGTCCCCCTGTCCCTGTCCCCCTGTCCCAGTCCCTGTCCTAGTCCCAGTCCCTGTCCCTGTCCCCCTGTCCCTGTCCCTGTCCCCGTCCCTGTGTCCCTGTGTCCCTGTGTCCCTGTCTCCCTGTCCCTGTCCCTGTCCCTGTCCCTGTCCCACTGTCCCTGTCCCCCAGTCCCTGTTCCTGTCCCATTCCCTGTCCCTGTCCCCTTGTCCCTGTCCCCCTGTCCCTGTCCCTGTCCCTGCAGCAGAGTCCCAGGGACACCCCTGTCCCCAGCTTCACCCTGGCTGCCTCTCGGGGCACCCGCTCTGGTGCCACCACGTGTCGCTGCTGTCCCCATGTCCCCAGAACGCCCCATCCCCTCCCTGGGCCGTGCCCAGGACCCCTCCATGCCCCAGTTTGTGGCCATTCCTGTGACAGGGGTGTCCCTGGGACTCTGCTGGTGGCAGCAGGGACCAGGATGGACACCAGGATGGTGATCAGGATCTTGCTGGTGATGGGAACCGTGGTGGTGACAAGGACCAGGGTGATCCCTGGGACCAGAATGGAGTCCAGGGTGTACCCAGGGGTCAGAGTGGCCCCTGAGACGAACTATGGCTTCTTCTTTGGCAACGGGGCAGAAAGACAGAGACTTTCTACAATCTCGGAATCACCAACACCCACAGATTCCGACACCTTCCTCCACAAGGTCCACGAGGAGGTAACCCTGCTCTGGGCCTGGGCTCTGGGGCTCAGGGGGCTGCCCTGACCCCCCTGTCCCCACAGGAGCTGCAGGAGCACGTCGAGGTGGACACCAGCAAGCCGGACCTGACGGCAGGGACACAGCCTCAGGGAGCTGCCAGCAGCAGGGGTGCCCTGCTAGGAGCACCCCCACACCAGGGGAACGGCTGGTCCTGAGGGTGGAGACAGATGGACACTGGGGAGAGCCCCCAGCTCCTGGAGAAGGTGGCCATGGAGGAGTCACAGCCCCCTGTGGCCCCCAGAATGAGTCCCTGCAGAGGCAGCTGTGGGAGCTGGAGATGCCCTGGGGACAGCCAGTACCAGGACATGGTGGGGTGGCTGCAGGAGGACATCCACAGCCTCAAGGAGGAGATGGCTCAGCACCTGCAGGACTACCAGGACCTGCTCAACATCAAGCTGGCCCTCAACACTGAGATCACCACGTACCACAAGCTGCTGGAGGGCGAGGAGAGCAGGTGACAGCTCCATCCCGCCCTCACGTCACCCCGGCCATGCCCTAACCAAGCCCAAGTCCTCATGGTCCCTCTGGGGTGTCCAGCTGGGTTGGGGACCATCCTCCAGCCCTGCTGCCAGAGCCCCAGGCTCTTCCAATGCTCCCATTGCTCCTGCAGGATCACCATCCCTGTGCAGAGCTTCTCCAACCTGCAGATCCGAGGTGAGGCTGTGCCCCCCGTGTGGGAAGGGGAGCGGGGTGGTGGCACAAACAGGGGTGGCTTCTGGGGGCTGTGTGGCAGGAGAAGCCACCTGAGCCATCTCTGCCCTGTTCAGAGGGATCAGGAATCTCAGGGAATCTCTTGGTGCTCCCAGGGTAGGGGGAGGAGGGTGCCATGGCCATATCCCCAAGGCTGAACATGTCCCTGAGGCTGATGATGTCCCCAGCACTGATCACATCATCATGTCCTCGATGACAGCCACATCCCTAAGGCCAGCTGTGTTCCTCAGTGACAACTGCGTCCCAAAGACAACCCTGTCCCCAGGCTCAGTCACATCCCAAAGCCACCCATGTCCCCATGGTCCACAACATCTCCAAGGTGACAAACGTCCCCAGTGTCCCCACAGCCCAACTGTGTCCCCAGGACACATCAGATCCTGCAGCCTGCCACATCCCCATGTCCCTGAGGCCAGCCCTGTCCCTGAGGTAGGTTGTGTCCCCAGGGCTGCTGTCTCTCATGTTCAGGGGTTTCCAGCCCAATCCATTTTCTTTGGGCTTCTCCTCTTGAGTGTGGCTGGAAGGGCCATACCCGGGGCAGGGTGTCACTGCCTTGTCCTGCCCGTGTCCCCCAGAAACCAGCCTGGACACCAAATCTGTGCCAGAAGCTCACGTGAAGAGGAACATCATGGTCAAAACCGTGGAGACCCGAGATGCAGGGGTGAGGTACAGGTGGAGAGGGACATTTCCCTGTCACCAAGTGCTGGGTGAGCTCAGCTGGGAGGCAGGAGCAGGAGGAAGAGGAGGATGGAGAGACAGGGGCAGGAGGAAGAGGAGAGTGGAGAAGCAGGATGCTCTCGGATGGTGCCAAGGGGTGACAAAACAGGCATCAGGAGGGGTTCCTGAGGGTGCTGGGGTGTCTGGGGTTGGTTGTGGGGCTACACAGTGGCCTCAAGGGTTTCTCTGGGGCTGTCCTGATCCCACTGGGTGACTGCCACCAGGATGTCCCCAGCACAGGAAAAAGCAGAGCTGAGGGGCTCATGGTGAGGGGTGACCCACAGCCCTATGGCAGGGGAATTTCAGAGGAGAGGGTCCAGAGGAGGAGGAAGGTGTCAGGGCACCCGTGAGGGTCTCACAGCCCAAGGTGCCACCTGCAACCGAGGAGTGACGGGGGAGTGTCACCACTTGGGGGTCACACTGGGAGTCAGGAGCTCTGGGGCTGCCCCACACAGAGTTACTGCACTAACGCTGCTGCAGGTGAGAATAAAGCCAACAAACACGCTGAGCTCCCATGGCTGTGCCTGCACCCACCTCTCTGCAGCCAGAGCTGGGGGATTTGGGGATTATCTGGGCTCTGGGGACCTCTGGGAGCCCAAACCAATCCTGATGTTGCAGGAGAAGGGCACAGATACACCCCAGGGCCAACAGCCACGAGGAACTGAGCTGACAGGAGGGGGTGCAGGGACAGCACCCACAGCCAGCAGTGGGTGGGGTGGGAGAAATCTCCTTCCCAGAATGGGAATCAGGGATCTGCTGGGGTTCTGCACCCTCAAACCCAGCTCCTGCCCCACACAGCCCCAGGCTGCAGCCCCTGGGAGGCTGCCAGGACTGACTGCAGCTTTGGGTGGGTTGGAGATCCTGCACATATCAAAAGGTTGAAGGGCCAGAGCATCACTGGGACCCTCAGGGCCCTCCTGGACAAGGGATTTCTGCTGAAATCCTCAAGCCACATCCTCAGAAGGAAATGAGCCTGCTCCATGCAGAGGATTAAGTGTCCACCGAAACCCTGCAGAGCTGTCACAACCTCTGGGGGATGTTTGAGATGACTTTGTCAGGCACAAACATTGACTCCCAACTGTGCTGAGTCGGGGGGGAGTTAAAAACACCCCAGCAGCCATTTCTGGAGAAAACCAGATCAGTTTGAAAAATATTTTTTCCTTCACGAGTTAAAAAAAAAACAAAAACAAACCAAAAACAACAACAAAAAGGTAAACATTTGTTCCAGCTGAGGAGCTCAAAAGGGACACTGAAGGGTTTGGTACACACATCTCTCAACATGGAAAACAAGGCAAATAAGGGTGAGAAAAGCAAGAATTAATTGGATTAAAATAGTGAGGATGAAGATGATTATGATGATGAAGCTCATGTTTCCATGGACCCCAGCTGGCCCCTGAGCTCAGCTCTCAGCAGCTCAGGTCACACCATGAACTGGCTGACCTGGAAAGGGTTCCAGCGGGTCCCACAGCCCCATCCTCTGTCACCACTCCCATAATCTCTGCTCCACTGAATTTCTCCAAGTCTTCCCAGCAAACCCCAGGGATTTTGCCTTTCCCAAGGGGTGGGAGCAGCCTGCAGCCTTGCCATCCTCACCCTGAGCCTTGGCACCACTCAAGCAGTGTGCCTGTTCCCACCAGAGCTGTGCCTGTTGTGCTGGGGCTGTTCTGACATCAAAATGCTCCATCTCATCTTGGGGAACTCCAGGATCTTCTTTTGTTGAAGCCTCCAGTGCTCAGCTGTGGTTTCTCCAGGGCAGGTGAGAGTAGGTGGTTCCAGTCTGCTGGGGCGACTCTGCCATTTGCTGCACTGGCTTAGGGGAAAAAACTGACCTGAAATTGTTACTGTCATTGATTACATCTCCTAAAACCCCTCAGTGAATGTGAATGGGGGTGGAAGAGGAAAGGGACTATCTGGGTTTGGATTTCTCCTTCAAAACTACCACCCTGTTCTCTTTCCCTGGGTTTTCTCCTCATCCAAGAGCCTCTGCCACACCCATCTGTGAGGCCACCCTGCTCACAGATCACAGCACCACAGCCTGGGAGCTGAACTTTATTGTGCAGAACTTGTGCCCTGGGGGGTGCCAAAGTCAAGCTTTGAGTTTTTTCTGAGCCTCAATCCTGGTGCTCCTGCTCCCTCAGCTGACCTGGTAACACTTCATCAGCTCCACCACTGTCCTCTCCTCCTCAGTTTCCATGGGATGGGCTTCCCTGCCTGCCTCACAGCTGGCCAGGCAATCCCTGCTCTGCAGCTTGCTGAACAAATCCTGGCTGCTCTCCTTCTCCTCCTGGCTCAGGAGAGCCACGTTCAGCCTGAAGCGTTTGGTGCCCGCCAGGCTCTGCAGGAGCTGAAGGACAGCAGCTCTGTCTCCAGGATGGATGTTCTCTGCCAGCACTGTCAGGAATTCCCCCAGGAGGCCAAAGCCCACATCAGCCTGGAAGATCCTGCCCAAGGCCTCCCCTCCGAGCTCCAGCAAGAATTGGTATTTCTCTGTCCCGCTTTTCAGGCATCTGCGCCAATCCCGGTGAAATTCCGCAGCGGTCCCAGGCAGCTGATCCAGCTCCTGGAGGAGAAAGGAAACACTCAGGTCCTTTTTTGTTCCCACTTGAAGACTTTGATCCCTTTGATGGACAGCTGAGATGTTTTTAGCAGGGGCTTTGGCAGCACAAGGAGCTGCTGAGGGGGAAAAGGGGAAAACAAGGAAATGCCAGGTGCCTTTAACCCTGAGAAACCAGGGAACTGCAGGGGGAAAAGGGGAAAACAAGGAAATGCCAGGTGCCTTTAACCCTGAGAAACCAGGGAACTGCAGGGGGAAAAGGGGAAAACAAGGAAATGCCAGGTGCCTTTAACCCTGAGAAACCAGGGAACTGCGGGGGGAAAAGGGGAAAACAAGGAAATGCCAGGTGCCTTTAACCCTGAGAAACCAGGGAACTGCAGGGGGAAAAGGGAAGTGTGGATGAGGTGTGACACACAGACTCTCTACACAGCCTGGATCCACCAGCACTGCCTGGGAAGGGATCTCAGAGATCAGGAACACTCTGAGCACACAGAGGAAAAACCAGGAGTGGCAGAGCAAAGGTGGGAGATGCAAACCCCAGAAAATGTGAAAAATGTGCAGATGCCCTGTCTGGTACCACTGGCATTGGTGGGTGTCTGCCAGAGCAGAGCTCCAAGGGGCATTCCCAGGTAAAGGAAATCCCATTTTGTACCAGCTCTGATGAACTGCTGAGCCCAGCCCTGCTGGGTCACCAACAAACAGGCTGGGGGAACAGGGAAATGTGCAGCTTTTCTACAGCCAGGGAACAAAGCAAAGTGACACCAGCTGGGGCTTGGCACAGGTGGAGAAGCTCTGGAGACCTGAGCCTGGTGCTGATGGAACCAGGAGCAGGATTTGCTGCGGGAGATCACTGGTCAGTCCAAAGCAGAACTACTCAGGAGAGTTGCAAAAGATCTTACAATGACACCCAGCATCCTAAACAATCCTCAAGACTGTGTTTATAAGGCAATCCATGAAATTGCCTTATCATGGGAAACATCCAGTGACCAGGACACTCCAGCATGGCCCACAGCAGGGGCAGGAGGTGACTCCAGGCACAAATGGCTTGGACAGAAAATGTCCTGTCCCTGTTTCCCACTGCTGAGGGACCCAGTGAGCTGATCAGGCTCAGGCAGGATTAACCCAACCCAGTTATTTTCCATGATCATTAAATTCCCTGTGCTCAGGGAACCTCTGCAGCCAGAGGCTGTCCCAGGGAGGGTCCTGGTGCAGGCCTGGCTGTCCCCAGCCAGGGACAGCTCCCACAGACTGCTCCTGGCCACCCTGGGGGCACTGGGAGCTCTGGGGCCACGTCTCCATTCCCACAGGGATGGAGCAGACTCTCCCTGAAGAGGCCCAGCCTGACCCCGTGCTGACCCAAATTCTGCTATTCAAGGGGTTGAATTGTAACTCCTGCATTCCAATTAACAGCCAGATGATTCCTGAGTCATTTCCAGCTGTGGATGAGGCCCCAGCAGCCTCTCCCTCACCTGTGGGATCTCCACAGCGTGGGCAGGTGCTGCCTGGGCTGGGGCTGCACAGGGATTCCACAGCACGTTCCTCCTCTGTCCCAGCCTGTCCTTCTTCTCCAGAGGCTTCAGGTGAGAAGCCAGCACAATCTCCCTGAGGGGAACAGAGACAGGAGGGACACGTGGCAAAAGAAAACACTTTTTGAGGCTTCAAGCAGCTGCTCTGAGCCAATTTGTGACTTTGGGCTGTGTGGATCACCCAAAGGGGTGGACAGGCTGGAGGAGCAGCCCTGACTAATACAAGGATAAACCAGCTTAAAATCCCATCAAGATATTTGGGGGAGAAGCCACTTGAAAGTGTTTTCCTGCCCCTCAGGGGTCAGGTGGGAATGAGACAGACATGAATCCATGAATGGAACTTGAGCTGGTCCCAGAACGCCTCCCAAGCGTGATCAGAGTCCTGGATCTGCCTTTGGATCCTGGAGGGGGATGGACAGGGAGCCCCAGATGGATCCAGGGAAATGCAGGAGTTTGGGGGGCACTGGGAGTGCAGCCCTGCCATGCCAGCCTGCTCACAAGCCCTGGGCACAGCAGTGACAGGCTGGGAAGGGCACAGGGGACACCAGCACGGCCTGGGGCTGTGGGGCAGGGCTGGGAATGGGGCAAGGTGACACTGCCCTGGGGAGGGGACAGTGCCACTCCGCTGCTGGCTACAGCTGGGCCACCACAGGGGTGAGGAACGGAGCAGATCTCAGCCCACACGGGGCCACCTGAGGAGGTGGGCTCTGTCCCCGGGGCTGTCCCGGGCACCCCGAGGTGCTGCCCTCGGGTCCCTCAGAGCCCGGGGGAGCGCCCAGCCGAGCTCCCGGTTCCTCCCGGGCCCCGGACCTGAACTGGCCGTAGTCGGGGACTCCCTGGCGCAGCGCCCGCAGCTTTGCCTCGCCCTCCCGCTGCCGCCGCTCGTCCTCCGCCAGCGCCGCCCGCAGCTCCCGCTCCAGCGCCGGGAACGCTCCGGCCGGATCCATCCCGGGCTCCATCCCCGGCCAGGGCTACAGGGACCCCTCCTGTCGCGACAGCCCTCTCTGCGATGGCTTCGAGGCCACACTTCTGTCCCAACAGCGCTGCCAGGACTGGCCCGACAGCCCCGATCCTATCGCGACAGTCCTGCCTTGGCAGCCCCAAGGCCGCGCACGGGGATGGCCGCTAGGAACCACTCCCCAGGCCCTGACACACCGCCGGCCCCGGGGCCCCTTGCTGTGTCGCGACAGCCCCGCCGGGTGACGAACAGCGCAGCCCGGGGCCGCTCTCTATCGCGACAGCCCCGCCGGGTGACGAACAGCGCAGCCCGGGGCCGCTCTCTATCGCGACAGCCCCGCCGGGTGACGGACAGCTCAGCCCGGGGCCGCTCTCTATCGCGACGGGGCCGCTCTCTATCGCGACAGCGCCGCTCCCGCCGCCAGAGCGCCGGGGCCGCGCAAGGCCCCCGGGGCTGCCCCGGCCGCGCCTGACAGAACCGGCCCCGCCGCCCCGCGCGGCCCCTCTCGCCCCGCGGCCCTCGGGACGCTCCGGAACCGGTCCCGACCCGGTCCCGACCCGGCTCCGGACTCACCCGGCGCTCCTCCGGGGGGCGCGGGGCTGGCGGCGGGCGAGGAACGCTCTGTGGCGACAGGCGGCGAGGGCAGCCCGGGGCCCTTCGGCAGCGGCGGCGCCGGCGAGAGCAGCGGCGGGAGCGGAGCCGGGGCAGGTGAGGGAGAGCGGGACCGGGAACGGGAACGGGACCGCTGAGGGAGAGCAGGGCCGGGAACGGGACTGGGACCGGTGAGGGTGAAGGAGAGCGGGGCCGGGAACGGGAGCGGTGAGGGAGAGGGAGAGCGGGACCGGGACTGGGAACGGGACCGCTGAGGGAGAGCGGGGCCGGGACCGGGCCGAAGCTGCGGACAGGGCCGGGCCCCCGTGCCCTGAGGCGGTTCCATCACGGCCCTGAGGCGGTTCCGTCACGGCCCTGAGGCGGTTCCGTCACGGCCCTGAGGCGGTTCCCCCACCGATCCTCTCCCGCCCCCCAGCATGGACACCGACCTGTACGACGAGTTTGGGAACTACATCGGGCCCGAGCTGGACTCGGACGATGACGACGACGAGCTGGGCCGAGAGGCCAAAGACCTGGACGAGGTGAGGCGGGGCAAAGAGCCCCGGGGCCGGCGGGGTTTGTCCTGCCCGGGACCGGCGGGGTTTGTCCCGCCCCGGGGCCGGCGGGGTTTGTCCTGCCCGGGACCGGCGGGGTTTGTCCCGCCCCGGGGCCGGCGGGGTTTGTCCTGCCCGGGGCCAGCGGGGTTTGTCCCGCCCGGAGGCGGAGCGGGGTTTGTTTGTCCCGCCCCGGGGCCGGCGGGGTTTGTCCTGTTCCCAGGACACCTCTGGGGCTGCTGGGGCTGCTCTGGGGGTCCCTGACTCGGGGGTGACCCCAGGCCTGTCCCCTCGGGGGGCCCCACAGCCACTCAGGGTGAGCCTTGGTTGCAGCTGGAGGATGATGATGATGATGATGACATGGGGGAGCACGATGAGGAGCACCCCGGGATGGAGGTGGTGCTGCACGAGGACAAGAAGTACTACCCCACGGCAGAGGAGGTCTATGGGCCTGAGGTGGAGACCATCGTGCAGGAGGAGGACACACAGCCACTCACCGGTGAGTGGGGAGGAGCTGGAGGGAGGAGAAGGCTCTTAATGGATCCTTGGAAAGGGGAAATAATATTCCCTTCTCTCCTGCCCATTTGGAGCCCCCTCATAACCTCAGGAACTCTGTCTGCTGTGGGCAGATTTGGGCACTTGTGGTTTTTGCAAACCCAAACAAAGGTACCTTGGAAGAGCAGGAATCAGCAGAGATGGGAAAGCTGATTAAGGGAGAAGTGATGCAGTTATAAGTGATCTCCTTTGACTCCTGTACACTGGAATGGCTCAGCTGGAAGTGACCATCTCCTGCAGCCTTGACAAACAGCTGAGAGAATCTGTCAGCCAGAAAATTGAGGAGTTGTCAGCTGAAGTCCCCATTCCAGGGGCCATTCCTGGTTCAGGGGCTCTGGGAACAGTTTGTTGTTGTGTCTCTTGTTTCAGAGCCCATTATCAAACCTGTGAAAACCAAGAAGTTCTCCCTGATGGAGCAGACGCTGCCGGTCACTGTCTACGAGATGGAGTGAGTGTGGGGCTGGGGAGGCACATCTGGGCTCTGGCTTGGTGTCTCAGTGACCTGAGAGCAGCCAATTCCCAGGCTCTGAACCCAAAACAAGAGGAAGTGCAGGACAAACTGTTTCACAGACATTTTCCCTCCCCACCAGCAGCACAGGGTAGGGGAGTCTTACCTCAGGGGCTGAGATCAAGCTCCATAGCAACAGCTCGTGGCTCAGGAAACCTTCTTGGAATGGTTTGAGTTGCAAGGGACCTTAAAACCCATCCCTGCCATGGGCAGGGACACCTTCCACTATCCCAGCTTGCTCCAAGCTCCAATGTCCAACCTTGGCCTTGGACACTTCCAGGGATGGAGCAGCCACAGCTGCTCTGGCCAACCTGTTAAATATCCACACAGTCAGTGTGTAGCACACATCATACTGGGACATTTTGGGTTGATCCCAGTCTCAGATTAGGTCCCATCTATTCCAGTTTCCATTGGGAATTTTTTTGCTGCTGGCTGAGTGCAGAGTGCTGTGCAGTCAGCAGGACACTGCAGCTGTGCTGGGTGGGTCTATTGCTTGTGGCCCAAAGCAGCTTCTTGGACACCAGGGCTGGGAGAAAACCTGGAAAAAATTCCAAATGCATTTAAAATTGGAGATGTAATATGTCAAATGAGTTTTCTGTGGAATAAAAAGCATCCTTGGCTTTTTCTGGTAGAAGTGTAGTGTTGGTCTGTGCATTGTGGTGGGCAGAGGGTCCGTGGCTCTGCACATGCAGTGTGTGTGTGTTGTCTCTCTTTGGGATGAGCTGTGGGGGTCTCCTTGGGCTCATCACTCACCACTTCATGGCCTGGCAGGGCTTTTCCCAGTGTGAATTTTCCTCTCCAGGTCCCAGAAGCAGGAGCTGCTGGGACTGGCTTTTCTCAGCCCTTGCTTTGGCTCAGTCCCTGACCTGGGCTCTGCATTATCCACCAGTTCCCTGATCCTTGTGTGCTCTGCTCATTCCATTTGTAATTAATTCATTTTTCTCCTATTTGTTGATATAAATGGTTAGGATGGACCACGAGAAATTCCTTGTGGGATGTAGCCAGAAACCTGCAAGCTTGGTATTGATTTCCCATTTAGCCTTATTTTCAGACCAATTAGGAAGGTTCTAATCCGGGTTAGTATTGATTGCTGTATTTTTTAACTCTTAATCAAAACGTTTTAAATTAAGAAGTCCATTGCATCAGTGAAAATTTAATCTGTTTAAAAAGGAAATTATTTAACAGCACTTATTCTCTGCAGGCCTCTGGCAGTGGCTGCATGTTTTATAGCCTCCCATTATTTTTTAGGGTTGGTAATTTAGGATCTCAATTATCTTTTGGCCAGCGTCCATCCAGAAGTGACCAGCTCATCATTACCAGCTGCTGCTGATTTGAAAAACACTTAATTCCTTAAGTCCCTGGAATGTCACTGTTTTAAGGCTTGAAAATCAGAATTAATGGTCTGTGGAGCCCCTGGCTGCTTTCAGAGCTCCATGGGGTGCTTGTTATCCAGCACCACGATTTACCTGACTGCCTGCCACGGTTTGAGTGGAAATGCTTCATCATCTGAGTACATGGACGTGATTTTTGCTCCAGTACTGACTAGAAGAGAAGAAAAATATTCAATAATATTCAATTGCTGGCAGCTTTACCAGCTCCATATCCTCCCACCCACTGCCATCTGTCTGGGACTCCAACTCTCTTGTCCTCCCCATCTGGAAAGTGGGATTCTTCCTCCGCAGGGCACTGGCAGGATAAAAGTTTGGCGAAGATTCAGGGGGCACCTTGGATAGAAAGTGTAGCTGAAAAGCAGCACCTACTTTTCTTAGACACAGCAGAAGCCTCCAACAGCCTTTTGTGTTTTGTTCCTGCAGTTTCCTGGCAGATCTGATGGACAACTCGGAGCTGATCCGGAATGTGACTCTGTGTGGGCACCTGCACCATGGCAAGGTACTGTGAATGTCCAAAATGCAGCAGTGAGGTGACCTGCTGCTTTGCCAGCCCTCCTGGCCCCTGGTTCTCTGCAGCAGCACCTTCTGCTCCTCCTGCTCATGGACTTACTTATAGAATCCAAGGATGGATTGGGTTGAAAAGGACCTTAAAGCCCATCCAGTGCCACCCCTGCCATGGCAAGGACACCTTCCGCTGTCCCAGGCTGCTCCAAGCCCTGTCCAGCCTGGCCTTGGACACTTCCAGGGCTCCAGGGGCACCACAGCTGCTCTGGGCACCCTGTGCCAGGGCCTTGCCATCCTCACAGGGAGGAATTTCTTCCCACTATCCCACCTAACCCTGCCGTCCTCCAGCCTAAGGCCATTCCCCCTTGTCCTGGCACTAGGTTTCCCTGTGAAATGTGTAGATATTTTTGTAGGTGGAATTTGTAGGTTTTACAGTGACCTGCTCAGCGTGCTCTGTGCTGCTGCTGGAGGGATGGGGTTGTGTTTGTGTGTGTCTGAGGACAGGCATCTCCTTTCTCTGCTCTCTTGCAGACGTGCTTTGTTGACTGCCTGATAGAGCAGACGCACCCCGAAATCCGGAAGCGCGACGATCAGGATGTGAGTGAGCTGTCCTGGCAACTCGGGGGGCTGTGCATGGGGACAAGGTGCTTCAGTGACTGGAATGTAGGACTGGGAAGCCAGAGCTCAGTCCTAATTCAGCTTCTGTCCCTTATTTGTCACCTTAGTGATGTGTCAGAGTTATTGTGTCCTGCTTCTGACTGAGTATCTGATACCAAAATGTGAGACACTGATTTTTGTTTTGCCTTTGCAGCTCTGCTACACTGATATATTGTTCACAGAGCAGGAGGTGAGTGGTCTTGTAGTGATTTTATCCAGTTGTCCCATGCTTCACTCACAGTTTTTGTAGGCAGTTTCCTGGTCCATTTTAATGCCTTTCTGTGCCTTTCACATTTTGGTTATTTTCTTTATCAATAAAACAATCTGCTCCTCTTGTTTGCCTTAGGAAGATTCCTGATCCAACTTCCTTCCCTTATCTCCATGTATGATTTTGTAACTTGTGTAATGTTAAATCTCCAGCAGACTCCAGTCTAGGGTTAATTGTTACTTTCTTTGACAGAAAAAGGAGGAAAGGATTTGTAGCAGTGGTAAATGAGGAAAAAAATATTTCCAAATAAATACATTTCTGCTTGTTTTCCTTAGCTCTGACTCCATGGGGTTGGGCATGAGTGGGAATGTTATTTTGTGTCATGACCAGAACAATCCTTTGAAGCATTTTTTTTTTTCTCCTCTCAGTGTTTATACTTTATACTCTGTGTGATCAAATCTTGTACTTTGAGGTGTAACTTGGTGGCAGCAGAGGGTGAAAGCACAAACAAACACCCACATTCTGTCTCAGCTGTTGCCTGTAGTACCTCCTCAGCTGAGATCAGCTGTGGAGGGTGCAGTGGTGGCTCACCAGTCTGACCAGTGCAGATGGGAGCTGGGCTGGGTGCTTTGGTGATCTGAGGTTATTACTCTCTTCCAGGATGAATGTTTACTTCTATCCATGTTTCTGATTTTTCCCTGATCATCTTCTACATCTGTGTGTGGTGATCCTTGTGTTTCTGTACGTGGTGATCCTTTTGTTTATTTTTTTTACCTGTAATTCTGGTTTCCTGTGTTTCAGAGGGGTGTGGGGATCAAGAGCACCCCAGTGACGATTGTTCTGCCAGACACCAAAGGAAAGTCTTTCCTCTTCAACATCATTGACACTCCAGGTGATTGTGCAGTCCTGAAAATCCTGCTGTGGCAAGCACTTAGCCGTGTTTTGTACATTTTATAGCTGACTCCAGCCTAGTCCTGAGCCCTTAGCTCAGTTCATTCCTGTGAAGTCACTTCCAGCAGTAGTGACCCATAATCACCCAGGGATGGTTTGGGGTGAAGGGACCTTAAAGTCCATCTAGTTCCAGCCCCCTGCCGTGGGCAGGGACAAGTCAGGCTCATGTCTGTGATTAGCTGCCCTAATTGGGGGCTGGTGAGGCTGAAGAGGTGTTTCACTCAAGCAGCACAGGTAGAATTTTCTTTCCCAGGTATTTATTGCCATGTTCAGAGGGACTCGGCTTTGCTCAAATGCTGTTGCCCCACAGTGAGATTCAGCAAGGCCCTTGACAGGCTTCTGTGGAGGGAACATAATCACAGATCAACTTGTAAGAAACTTTAGGGAAGAGGGTCTTGGGACACATCTGCTGAGCTACAGCTCGGGGTGAGGGAGGTTAGAGCGCAGGAGGAGGCTGGGGGGAGAAGCATCTGTTGTCTTTGAGAAGAAATCTTCCTCCTTTTCCCGAAGCACTTGCACAGAGCTGTGAAAAAAACAGTCACAAATGTGAGGAAAAGTGCCTGTTAAACAAGTTGTGTGCATTCTCAAAAAATAGCATTGGAGCTGAGGCTAAATCACCACGGGGAGCTCTGGCAGCTGCTCCCAGGTCTGAGGAGGAACCGTCTCCATTCTGCCTCTCTGGCTTCCAGCAACCAGAGGAATCTGCAGAGCCCCACAGCTTCCCACCCTGTGTGCTGCTGCTGCACCAGGGCTCACTGTGCTTCTCACTGTGCTTCTCACTGAGCTTCTCACCGTGCTTTGTGTGGTTTTGAAGGTCATGTGAATTTTTCTGACGAGGTGACAGCCGGCCTTCGCATCTCGGACGGCGTCGTGCTCTTCATCGATGCGGCCGAGGGGGTGAGTGCCACCTTCTCCTGGGGCTTTCCTGCCTCCCTCTGGAGTCTGTCCTCCTGCCCTAGCATGAAGGCTTGGCATGGGTTCAGCTTTCTGGGGTGAAGAGTTTTTGAAGGACAGTTTGGGAAGTGAGGGTGTTTTCCATCTGAACAGGCAGCCAAGCCTGTGGCTGCTGTGCCCAGACTGATGTGATGCTGTGGCCTGTAGGCTGATTGTCTGACTTGTGTGCATCTCCATCCCCATGATCACTAAAACTGAGCAGGTTATTTATATCAGAGATGTCCACAGGGTTGGATTCAAGGATTTTGGTTGGGTTAGCACCTATTTGTGAGTTTCAGGAGGATTAGCTGGTTGCTGAGCTTGGGCTATTCTGCAGCCTGGCAGCAGAGTAAGGGTCACTGGTTGCCTCTCATGCCCCAGATAACATTTTGGGGAGGCTTTCCTGGGGCTCTGAGCTCGCTGCTCCCCGCAGGTGATGCTGAACACAGAGAGGCTGATCAAGCACGCGGTGCAGGAGAGGCTGGCAGTGACTGTGTGCATCAACAAGATCGACAGACTCATCCTGGAGCTGAAACTGCCCCCCACAGACGCTTATTACAAACTCAGACACATTGTAGACGAAGTTAATGGTCTGATCAGGTGAGGCTGCTTGGGGTGCTGCATTGTTAGTGCTGCTGTCCCTGTCCCATGGCTCTCTGTGGGCCCTGCACATGCCTGAAAACTCACCAGTTTGTCTCTTGGTGTGTTGAGTCATAGAAAATGGGCCAGGAAGAGCCACTGGGAGTTCATCTCAGGTGATACATTGAATTAAGCAGGACTGGCTCTTCCTGGCAAACTCTAGGGGATTTTATTTCCCCCACCCCATTTCATTTTTCCTCTATTAAAAAGTAGACAAAGTGGACATATGACCACAACAGGGAATTTGTGCTCCCAAATGTCCCAAATACACTGAAATGATCCAGGTTGTATCCCAAATTGAAGGTCGAGATGTCTCAAAGCTCCTAAATACTTGCTACAAAACTAAAAGAGGATTTGCTGTCTCAACTCCTGAACAAGGATTATGGTACTGACACAGTCCAGTCTCTTTGCCAGCCCTGCCTAGGAGAGGGAGGGACATCTTAGCAGCCATGCATCATTTCTGTGGGTTCTTCTGCATCCAGGGACTTCTTAACAGCATTCTGCCCTTCAAGTGTGTGTGTGTTTGCACACAAGATCCCTGGCATGTCTCTGTTCAGTGTGTGCTGGCATCAGGCAGCTGGGAGCAGGGTAATTCACCCTGCCTGGCATGGCTGTGAGCTCATTAAACCTGTTTGGATTAAATTACATCCCTGTATTATCTTTTCCCTTATTTGGTTGACCAACTTGGCTGCTTTTTTAGAGGAAGAAAAGTTATCCCAGATAAAAAATCTGAAGCATTTGTGCTGGTAAAAGTTCTAGGATCTTTAAATCTTTGCATTAATGCTTGAAATTTATAGGCAGAATATGTTCCTGACCCTGAGATTCTGATGGCAAGCAAGCTACAGCCTGTTTAAAGCTGCTTTTTGGCAATGCAGGCTCCATGCCTGTCACTGCTGTAGGGTGTGGGAAGTGGGCTGAAGTGTCTTCTTTGGTTCATAACATTGATTTGATTTTATTTTTCTCCTCTCAGCATGTATTCCACCGATGAGAACCTCGTGCTGTCTCCCCTTCTGGGGAATGTGTGCTTCTCCAGCTCTCAGTACAGCATCTGCTTCACACTGGGGTCTTTTGCAAAGATTTATGCAGACACATATGGTGAGGATTAGCCAGAAACCTGGTGCACTTCAACATCTCATTTCCCAACCTTTCTTGTGGGGGTTTTCTAAGCCATTCAGCTTCCCCTGCACATGGCCAGTGTTTGCGTTCTGGAATTGCTGAGGGTTGAGTGGTGCTGCAGAGCTGAGCCTCGAGGGTTAAAAAGCAGAAACACAGTTTTAGCAAGATATTTTCTCCTGATAAATGTTTCCTGAGTCAGAAGCCAAGATTTTTTTCATCCCCTAAGCAGAAATAACAAGCAGTTGAAGGCAGGTGTGTGTGTGTTGTGCTTTGCCTCCTTGTCAGCAGCTCAGGAGTGAAGCAGTTAAGCTCTTCCTGCCTTTTCCCAAAAGTCCAAGACTCAGCTGCAGCTGGGCACAAGCTTTGCCCACAAGGTTTTGCACTCTTGCCCTCTTTCTTTTTTAAGAAACTCTCTTTTTCTGGCCTGGATTTAATTTTCTGCTCCCCAGGTGCCCACTCAAGGCAATCTGCCGCGTGTAGCAGCGGGCTCCGTGCTGGCATTAGCAGCTGCACAGCCCAGGTTTTGAAGTCCCCCACTGGGGAATTTGGGGATCTGTAGGAGCTGAGAGCAGGGGAAGAAGGAGGTTGTAAAGCAGCTGGGCCAGCTCTTGCATAGAACTTGGCCTGAGGGAGGATGAAGTTGTAGAGGTCAGGGACTGATGGTGTCAGGGCTGTTACGTATGCGGAGAGTTTGGAGCAATAAATGAGCTCCCTGAGTGTCACAGCATTAACTCAGAGCCTGCTGGGGTGAGACCCCTCCCTGGGGAGCTGAGGACAGCAGGAGATGCCAACTAGGTGGGGAAGGCAGGAGCTGAATGGGTGCTTGGAGTTGTGAATAGTGGATTGTGATCACCAGGAATTGTATGTGCAGCCACCACATGTCAGCTAACAAGAGTTAGAGCAGCATCAGTGTCCAGACTGCAGCCACCAGGCAATTCCTTGTGTTCACACATCTGCCCACAGCAAAAGCTGGTTTTGAACCTGCTGTAGATTCTCATTCTGTCCTGGTATTTGTAAATTCACCATGACAGCCAGCTCTGCCGGACCTTTGGTGGGTTGTTTGGCTGTGTGCTCCCTGAGAAAGAGAAGGGAACCTGGAGATGTTCAGCAGGGCAGAAAATGCTGCTGCTGAGCCTGCAGGGCTGACAGGTGGAGGCCATCCCAGCACCTTGGCACTGCAGCAGCAGTCACAGCGTTCTCGTTTGGAAGTGCAGCAGACGAGGCTGTGCTCCTGCAGCACTCCTCAGCTCTGACCCCGTGGGTAGCAGGGAGCTGGAGTGTTCCTGGGAAGTCAGTCTGTGAACTGCAGTGTCCCTGGGCTGCTGGGGACATCCCCAGTGGACTCTTTCTGCTCATCTCTGCCTGATCTCCCCAGGACAGTGCTTAATCTTTCACTCAGAATTGGGATGAGGCATTCACTCATCAGCATCTGTTCATTAAATTGAATCCTCAGGCTTGTTTTAAAAGCCAAAATACAAAGATTTCTAAGCTAAGAAAAAAGCAGTGATATCTGAGAGGCTTTTTGATATGCTTTTTCCTTTAGGAGACATCAATTACCAGGAGTTTGCAAAGCGGCTTTGGGGCGACATCTACTTCAACCCGAAGACGTAAGAACTCTGTTTAAATGTTTTAATGTTGCTTTATTCCTGGGTTTTGCCCTCCTTTCCCTGTAAAATGTGGACTAGATGACCACCCAAGGTCACTCCTGACCCTGTGATCCTGTGGTGGGTTGGTATCTGGGAAGGGTTGAGTCAGGCCTCCTGGCTAATGTGAATCCCACAAGCAGGAGCTTGGCCTTTATTTGGAGAAAGCCTGAGCCATGTGTCCCTGACAGCTGCCCAGGGGATTGGGAGGGAGAAGAGGAGAAGCTGGGAGGAGCAGAGGCTGTGTGGGGATTCTGGCAGGCTGCAGTTCTTGCTCTTCACCTTTCTGCTCTCCAACAGCCGCAAGTTCACCAAGAAGGCCCCGACGAGCAGTTCCCAGCGCAGCTTCGTGGAGTTCATTCTGGAGCCCCTGTACAAGATCTTGGCTCAGGTCTGTGCTGGATCATTCTCCCTCCCACAGCTCCAGGCAGGAGCAACTGGGGTTGGGCACTGGGTGCTGGCTGGTGGGTCTGGTCCTGTCCTGTTTTCCAGTAGGATCTGCACAGGGTGGCCTCGGGGTGCAGAGTAATCATTATTTCCTGCAAGTGCAGCGCTCTATTTGCAGTGAATAGAACAGTCCTTGCTCTTCCTTGTGTGCTCTTGATAGCAGCCAAGTGACAGTGCTTGGACTTGGAGCAAAGATTCGGAGCTCAAGTCAGATGAGGAGAAGCTGGGGGAGCTCAGCCTAGAGAAAAGGAGGCTCGGGGGACCTTTATGCTTTCTACAACTCCCTGATGGGATGGGGCAGCTGGGGGAGGTTGGGCTGTGCTCCCAGGGAACAGGGACAGGACAAGAGGAAATGGCCTCAGGTTGTGCAGGGGGAGGTTTAGATTGGAGGTTAGGAAAAATTTCTTCCACCAAAGGGTTGTCCAGTCCTGGCACAGCTGCCCAGGGCAGTGGTGGAGTCACCATGCCTGGGTGGATTTAAAAGCGATGTAAATGCACTTGGGGACTAACATGATTTAGTGGTGGCCTTGGCAGTGCTGAGGAAATGATTGGACTGAATGATCTTAGAGAGCTTTTCCAGCCTTAATGATTCCACGATTCTGTGATTTGACTCATCTGGCTCTTGTGTGAGCTACAAACCAGTGTAGGTGCAGAGCCCTGCGGGCGGTGGCTGGTGTGTGATGCTGCACTGGGGGGTTACTGACTGGGACCCCCACAGTGCACCTGAGAGTGAGACTTGTCTTGCAGGTGGTGGGGGATGTGGACACAACCCTGCCCAGGACTCTGGATGAACTTGGCATCCACCTCACCAAAGAGGAATTGAAACTGAACATCCGGCCCCTGCTGCGGCTTGTCTGCAAGAAGTTCTTTGGGGAGTTCACAGGTACAAGCTGTTTGTCTTCCCCTCCACAATCCTCCTTATATCCCCAGTACCTCACACCAGGAGTTGAGGGTTATATTTTGGCCAAGGAGTGCTAACTTGCACAGATCCTGCTCAATTTCCCAAATCTAAACTATGACACCACTTGTCCACAGGACAGCCTGAGACATTGCTCACCTCTCCCCTGCTGCTGTGGGCGCTGCAGTCACCGTGGCTTTGCCTTGTGTTTATGGAGTCCATTTCTTTCCTCTACACTGGTTAACCCTGTCCTCACCAAGTGTTCTGTTGCAGGCTTTGTGGACATGTGTGTGCAGCACATTCCCTCCCCAAAAGTGGGAGCCAAGACAAAAATTGAGCACACCTACACCGGCGGCGTCGACTCCGACCTGGGGGAGGCCATGAGCGAGTGCGACCCTGACGTAAGGAAACTCCTGTGTTTGCTCTGAGTGTGTAGAACCAAGGCTGACGGGCTCTGCTCCCCCTGCCCTGCCAGGGCAGCTGCCTCTCAGCCAGCTATCTGCACAGATTTGACTTGCAGCACTCTGCAGCCTCTCATCCGACACTGGAACAAATCTCTTCACTCCAAGGAGCTTCAGCTGCCTGCCAGGGCAGCCCTGGAGAGAGGGAATTGTTTCACAGTGTTCAGAGAAGAACAGGACTAGGTCAGGACTCCAGAGCATGTGGGAGCTGCAGGGTGGTTTTGTGTCCTTTTGCAGTCTTTTTGTCCCTTTTCCTTGAAGTTTGATTCTCTCTCCAAACTCTAAAAAACTGCATGGTGCTGATAAAAATAACCCTGTGTTAGTTAGTCAGCACCTTTCCTCTCCCAGCCCTGCAAGCCCTTCCTCCTCCAACAGCTTGCACTGAGCTGTCATTCAGAGTTGTCTGGAGCCACCAACGCTGGCAGCTGAGTGAGAAATTTGCCTGTGACTTTTGCTCTGATGTCTGCAGAGAAAATTATTTTAATGAGTTGTGATTATCCACATAAAACTCCACAGTGGTGACTGTCACCACATCACCAGTATGGAGTGACCTTGTGGCACTGGAAGCTGTGATCTTGGGGGGCTCAGGTGCTCTACCCTGAGCAGGTTTGCAGACCAGCAGGTGACATTTTTACTCGTGGCTTTGTCCCAGCCACCATTTGGTGGTCTACAAGAGTAAGGACAGGAGCTCCAGAACAGTCCACCATGGTCATTCCAGGGTTTTCCATACAGGGCAAGGAGATGTAGGGCTTCCAGTGGCAGGAACTGAAGGACTTGGTGAATCAAAACAATTATTTCTAAATTCCAGCCCGTTTATCCCTTTTATCCACAAATCACAGAATATTCTGAGTTGAAAGAGATCCACAAGGATCATCAAAGTCCAATCCTGCCGGGTCTGTGTCTGTTTCTTGACTGTGTTTTGTAAGAAGCTCATTTCTGTTTCTCTGTGTCACGGGAAGGGTCCCTTGATGTGTCACACAACCAAAATGTACAGCACTGATGATGGTGTCCAGTTCCACGCCTTTGGTAGGGTGCTCAGTGGCACCATCCATGCTGGGCAGCCTGTGAAGGTCCTTGGGGAGAACTACACCCTGGAAGATGAGGAGGATTCCCAGATCTGCACCGTTGGACGCCTCTGGATCTCAGTTGCAAGGTACAGACAGCTCTGGCAATGTGCTTATTGGGAGAGGAGTCACCTGGAGTTGAGTGAGGGACTGGGAGGGAGGGAGAACTGCCAGAGAGAGGGAGGAGGAAGGTGCTGGAAGGTCTGAGGCTGCAGTGGTGCTCTCCTGCCTTTCAGGTATCACATTGAGGTGAACAGAGTTCCTGCTGGCAACTGGGTGCTGATCGAGGGCGTGGACCAGCCCATCGTGAAGACGGCGACTGTGACAGAGCCTCGGGGCAATGAGGAGGTACTGGGCCTGGCTGGCACTGCTCAGCCTTCCAGGGAGGCAAGGTGATGGGGTGCAGCCCAAAAACCCCTCTAGTGGGGTTAAAGAATCCCTGTCTCCCTTCCTGCTCCCATGGTGAGGCTAAAGGATTCCTGTTTGACGTGATGCCAGGGCACAAGAGCCACTGAGGGAAAGAAGAGCTTCACATGCTATATATTACCCTGAGGACATGTAGGGATGCAGTTTCAGCTCTTTGTCCTCTCTGGTTCCAGGCTCAGATCTTCCGTCCCTTGAAGTTCAACACCACGTCTGTTATCAAAATAGCTGTGGAGCCAGTCAACCCCTCAGAGCTCCCCAAAATGTTGGATGGTCTCCGCAAAGTCAACAAGAGCTACCCCTCACTTACAACTAAGGTACTGCTGGGGGCACTTGGATTAGATGATTTCCAGAGGTCCCTTCCAGCCTTAACTGTTCTGTGATTCTGCATGTGTGTGGCTGTTTCCAGCCAGTGCTGGGGCAGCCTCTGGGCTGATCTTCAAAATAATCAGGTTTTTTACTATAGGTTATTACATTTGTTGTGGGTCTTTTCATGGTGTTACAGTTGATTTCATAAATTATGTAGAAATAGCAGAAAAGTGTAAATCCAGCAGAAAAACACACACCCTGCTGTGCCAGGGAAGCAGCTTTCTGCAGAGCCCAGCAGCACTTCCTCCTGGAAAAGGCTGTGGGAGCTTTCCTTGGGGTGTTGTGACTCTGAACAAGTGTATTTAAGGCTGATCCTTCTTCAGACTTGAGTAGGAGCCTGGCAGGCTGGAGCTGTGAGCAGGGGGGCTGCCAGCTGAATCCCTCGTTTCTCCTGCAGGTGGAAGAGTCTGGGGAGCATGTGATCCTGGGAACAGGAGAGCTGTACCTGGACTGTGTCATGCACGACCTGCGGAAGATGTACTCCGAGATCGACATCAAGGTGAGGGAATAAAAGAGGGATTTTCCCACTGGAAGCCCTGGAGGGGGTTTTGGTCCTCTCTCTCAGAAGGATGAGAAAAAGAATCTATCTGAAGATACAGCATGGATTTTGTCACGTTTCTGTAAAAGTAAAATAAAATTTTAAAAAGGCTGTTAGGGTGTAAAAGGGCCTCTTACAGCCTGACTGTCACACCAGTGGGACTGAGAGTGGCACATTGGTTTGGAGAGAAGTTTTCCATATTCCAGCCTTCCCGGTGCTTCAGCCATTGCCTGGCTAGCATCAAATAAATAAATTGAGCAGGATTTTTCATATCTGGAATTGGATTTAAATTTTCCTGTCTCATTTGAAAGCCTCAGTGTTTCGTACACAGCCCTGATTAAAACAATGCCAGTTGAACCGGTTTTTCCTTCTAGGTGTTCTGAGGTTTCAAACAGTCTTTTTACAAAAAAAAAAAAAAAAAAAAAACTAAAAACCTTACAAGCCTTTTGTTCTTTTAGGTGGCTGATCCAGTGGTGACATTCTGTGAGACAGTGGTGGAAACATCCTCCCTGAAGTGCTTTGCTGAGACACCCAACAAGAAGTAAGGGCCGTGGGTGAGCTGGGAGGGGGTAGAGGGAGGGTCCATCCCTCCAAGGGGGCTGTTCCCACTGCTGTTGTCCACCAAGTGGCACATGCCTGAGTGAGCAATGTCCCATTGACCTGAACTCCTCAGGAGCACACCAGAGTCCAGGGATGTTCCTGTGCTGTGTAGGAGCTCTGAGAATGGAGGGAATAAAGACAGATCCACATCCTCCTTTTTCCCTAAGTGTCACACCTTCTCAGCAGCTCCGAGAGGTGTTCTGGGATCCTGGAGCAGGTGCCAAAGAGCCCAGTGCTGCCTTCAATAACTCTCCCAGCAGTTTCATGAGCAAGAGCTATGTCTTCTCTTATCCATATGTAATCTTGGATTTGTTCTTCCCAGGGAAGCCCTGGAGCCTTGCAGCTGCTCTCATCTCCCTCCTCCAGCGCCTCACAGTGCGTGTGATTGGAGGAGGGAGGCCTGGGAGGGAACATGGGGGAGATCTCTGTGCACAGGATGTTCTCATACCTGAATTTTCAGAGAAATCATGATCTGCTAAATTGACTCTCCTGTGTTCCCCTGTGGTTTTGCCTTCCTTTATTCTGAGACAATCTCGCCATGTTTGGCAGCCTTAACAGAATCACTGGTTTGGATTGGAAGCAGCCTTAAAAACCATCCAGTTCCAAGCCCTCCTGTGGACAGGGACAACTTCCACCAGACCAGGTTGTTCCCAGTCTTAGATCAGGCTTTGACCTTCTGGGCACATGTGCTGGGGGCAGGTTTCAGGCATTGTGGGGGTTCTCTGGGGCAGCATCTGATGTGTGAGATGCAGCTTCCAGAGGCACCCAGACACCCATGGGCTCCCTCCTGCAGGACAGGAGAGCTGGAGCCACACTGTCCCTCAGCTGTCTCCTTCTGGGGCTGAGCAGGCTTTGGGGAGCAGTGGCTGAGCACTTGGGCTGTGTTCACAGGGACACAGGAACAGCAGTGGATGCAGGTGGCTTCATCAACCCAACTGCATCCAAGCTGGGTGCAGTCTGAGAACCACAGAATTGTGGTGTTAGTAAGGTTGAAAAAGACCCTAAAGTCCATTTGTCAGCCCAGCACCACCCTCATGTTCAGTGCCACATTCACATGTTTTTTCAATGGTTCCAAGGATGGTGACTCCACCACTGCCCTTGGCAGCTGTGCCAGGCCTTTACAACCTTTGCTGTGTAGACATTTTCCCTAATATCTCACCTAAACCTCCTCTGGCTCAACTTGAGGCTTCTTCTTCTCACCCTGTCCTTCATTCCCTGGGAGCAGAGTCTGACCCCCACCCCTGGCTGCCCCCTCTGTCAGGGAGTTGTGGGGAGCCAGAAGGTTCCCCTGGGCCTCCTTTTCTCCAGGCTGATTCCCCCAGCTCCTCAGATGCTCCTGGTGCTCCAGACCCTTCCCAGCTCCATTCCCTTCTCTGGACACATCCCAGTCAGTCCCATTTCCACCACTGTGGCTGATGGTGGCTGTCTCTCCTCAGGAACAAGATCACGATGATTGCTGAGCCCCTGGAGAAGGGCCTGGCAGAGGACATTGAGAACGAAGTGGTGCAGATCACATGGAACAGGTAGGAGTGATCTGGGGGAGCAGGAATCCAGCTGGAAGTAAATACCTGGGGAAGAAGGGGATGCTGGAATCTGCAGGATGCACAGTGTCAGGCAGCAGCCTCTGGGAAGGGATCCTGGTTTGGTTTTCCTGCCAGCCAGTCTGTGAGCATCTCTGGCTGAGACTGTTCTGTGCCTGAAGAGAACAGGGTTGTAAATATATCGTGAGTACAGCTCAGATTCTTGTTTCCTAAAGCTTCTTCCCTTTCTCTCTGTCAGAAAGAAGCTGGGTGAATTCTTCCAGACCAAATACGACTGGGATTTGCTGGCTGCCCGTTCCATCTGGGCCTTTGGGCCAGACGCCACTGGCCCAAACATCCTGGTGGATGACACACTGCCCTCAGAGGTGAGGAGTGGGGCCACTTGCCAGAGCTCACCCTGGTTTGGGGTGGCTCCGTGTGGTGGAAAAATCTCTCCTCCAACCCGTGCTTTCAAAGAAAAAGCTCAGAAGTCTTCTGTTGTTCGGTCTCAAGGCAGTTTATTGCAAGTTATCTAAAAGATTTACTCCTTGAGCTGCTGTGGTTTGCTCACAGCTCAGGCAGAGGCACACACACACCCTGACATCCTCTCTGACTCCTGACTGCTTCTTCTCTGCCCCTCTGCCCAGGGCTGTGCTGTCTTTTATATGGTACATTACGTGTTACATGGGTACAGTTTTACCCCAATGCCCATTACCTATATTAAATGGTGCTTTTCTACTCTAAACCAATCTGTGAGTGCCAACATCACCAAGAACATGGAGGTAAGGAAGAAGAAAGAGGGAGGACAGGACAGGCCCAAATCCCTCCATCTTAAAACTTCTGACCCCCATGTACAAAACTAAACCCCCCCTGTACAGCACTCAAAAATTCTTCCCTTTACTTTGTGACTACTTCTACTGTAATATCTAAACTTTTGTGACTTCTTGTTCTACCTGCAAGGTTGGTAAATCATTCCATGGCTCAAACCCAAAATCACAGCTGTTTCCAGCTGCCTGCCAGGGTCTCAAATGCTTCTGACCTGGACCCGGAACATACCAAAATGTCTGAGGGACATTTTGAGTTCCGACAACCACTCTTCAGTGAGACCTTTGTCCTGTGGTACCAGGAGGTGCCCACTCCTACCAGAACTTTCAGCAAGGCCCTGGTGCCTTTGGGGTGCTCACTTTTTGCCACAGCTCAGACCTGCTGCACTTTCCCCAAAATTATCCCACACTGGTTACCAGGTCACCTGTTATTTTTGAGGTGTTGCTGTTCGGGCCAGTGTCCTCAACTTGCCAAAACTTGCAACCAACGGCTTTGCCTTTCAGGATCACCAAAACATGGGCTCTTAATTTATAGTGCTTTAGAAATAATATAGTGCTAATGCTCTTAAGCTGAGGGAGGGAGGGGCGGACACTGGGGGCACAGGGGAACACTGCTGCTGTTTTGGAAACTGGCTTTTAAACACTGGGTGTTACTGGCTGTGAGGAAGTGTGGTCTCTGAAGGTGTCTGTCTGTCTGTCTGTCTCTAGGTGGACAAATCTCTGCTGGGTTCAGTGAAGGACAGCATTGTGCAGGGCTTCCAGTGGGGGACCAGGGAAGGGCCCCTTTGTGATGAATGTAAGTGGGACCTGTGGGAAAATAGAGACAATGAGATTGGTTAAATTCTTCCATCTGTAAACATTCAGGTGTTCCAGGCTGAACAGGCTTGGAGCAGCCTGGTCTAGTGGAAAGTGTCTCTGCCCATGGCAAGGAGTTGGACTAGATCAGCTTTAAGGCTCCTTCCAACCCGAATCACTCCATGATTCTGTGATATGCAGGGTTATGACGTGGTGATGCATTCCCTGCTGGATTAAATTCAGGAGAACTGCTGGTAGCTTTGGGTGTTTGGGCATCTGGGGATGTGGTTGGTGCTGGCAGAGAACATCCCCCGGGGTCACTGGCTGTCATTTCTCCCTCCGCAGTGATCCGCAATGTGAAGTTCAAGATCCTGGACGCGGTGATTGCTCAGGAGCCCTTGCACAGGGGTGGAGGGCAGATCATCCCCACGGCCCGCAGGGTTGTGTACTCTGCCTTCCTCATGGTGAGGGCTTGCCTGTGCTGGGCTGATGCCCACGGAGCTGCCCGGGGGTGTGGGTGCACACTGACTCACTCACCCATCAATGTCTGCAGCGCTCCTGTGGGCTGGCACACGAGTCCTGCAGCCCTACATTGCAGCCTGGTGTGCATCTGCTCACTCTCCCCTTCTCCTTCCTGCTGGGAATGGTGGGCATGGGGGAGAGGGAGGCGTGTGACTCATGGCCAGAGGGAGAAAAGGTCCTTTCAGTGTTTGTGATGTTGGTTTGGGCAGTCATGGGGCAGCAGGAACCCTGCAATCCCATCAGACGCTGAGTTTGACCAGAGAACTTGAGCTGTGCTGGTGCTCCAAGAGGCTCAGTGGCTCATGTCCCTGTCCCCTCACAGGCCACCCCTCGCCTGATGGAGCCCTACTACTTCGTGGAGGTGCAGGCCCCTGCTGACTGCGTGTCCGCCGTGTACACGGTGCTGGCCCGGCGCAGGTGAGCTGCTCCCGCTGCCAGCAGTGGGGTTTGCAGAGCAGCAGTGCTGGGATCTGGGCTGTTGGAGAATTCCTGGCACTGCTGCAGAGGGTGAAGTGACAGTCGGAAGCGTCCTGACTGATCCTGGCCCCGAGCAGTGTGGGGAGGGAAGTTCAGGGTCACACTCAGCCTTTGGGTTGTGCCTGGTTCTTCCTGAGTGTCAGAGAGGAGAATGTACAAAGCACTGTGCTCAGCCCTGGGGCCCCAGCACAGGAAACACTCAGAGCTCCTTCAGTGGCTCCAGACAAGGCCAGGAAGATGCTCACTGGGCTTGTCTGGAGTGACTTCCCTGTAAAAACAGGTTGGGAGATCTGGGGTGATTCAACATGGAGAAGATAAGGCTGCAGGGAAACCTTAGAGTCCCTTCTAATGCCTAAAGGAGCTCCAAGAGGGCTGGAAAAGGGCCTGGAGTGCCAGGATGTGAGCACAACCGGTCGGTGGCTGGGTAATGATTGACATAGACTCCATGTGTTACAGAAGGCTGATCATTTTCTTTATTAAGGAACCCATTGCTTTTTATACCCTAGTTCACTACAGGTGGACCTAATTGGTCCTTAAAACACCATCATCATTGGCTAATTAGGAAACCACCCTTTGGTGGTTTCTTATCTCCATAACACATTCCACATGTTCACAATACCAGGTGCAGCAAGATAAGATAAGCATTGTTTCTCATTCTTTCTCTGATCTCACAGCCTTTCCCAGAAGATGCCTGGGAAAGTTGTGTGTTGCTCTCTATGGCCAGAGCTGCTGCCACACCAGGACAAGGGGGAATGGCTTCCCATTTTGGGATATTGGGAAGAAGTTCTTGGCTGTGAGGGTGGAGAGGCCCTGCCAGAGGTTACTCAGAGCAGCTGTGGCTGCCCCATCCCTAGAAGTGTCCAAGGCCAGGCTTGGAGCAAGCTGGAATAGTGGAAGGTGTCCCTGCCCATGGTAGAGGGGGTGGAACTGGGGGGTCTGAGGTCCCTTCCCACCCAGACCAGTCTGTGATTCTGACACATAGGAATGCTAATCCTTTGGCACATTTGCAGAGGCCATGTGACCCAGGATGCTCCGATCCCAGGCTCTCCCCTCTACACCATCAAAGCCTTCATCCCAGCCATTGATTCCTTTGGGTTTGAGACAGACTTGAGGACCCACACACAGGGACAAGCCTTCTCTCTCTCTGTCTTCCACCACTGGCAGGTGAGTCCATGCTCTGGGGAGATGGGGAGGAGGGACAGGTAGAATCAGGCACCAGTTAGGTGCTCTCAGTGCCATAACTCCAACAGAGCAGGAAAGCTCTGAAGAGCATCCTCAGAGGATCTTGGGGAGGCTTTGTGCACAGCTGTTCCATGTCTGCCAGGGCTTTGTTCCAAGTGCCATCACTCCCAGTCCTATGGAGGGAGTCCTGAAAGCTGCTGCTGGCTGAGTGTCAGGGTCCTGCAGTGCCTGTGGAGAGGACATTCCCCCTGGGAGGAGGGAACCTGCTTGGGTCCACTTCATGCTCTGTGGCTTGAGTAGCAGAAGTCTTGGAGTGAGGCTCAGACTCACTGATCTGCCACAGAAGTTCGATCTGTGCCACACTTCAGCTTTGCCTCTCAGAGGTGATGTTTTAAACCTGTAGGAAGCAAAGTTTGGGACAAAATACTGTTCTCTGGCCACTTCTGTGTCTGGGGCAGATGAAGTCCTGTGAGAGCCACAACTGTGAGGGGGTGAGCTGTGAGGGATACAGCTCCATGAGAGCAGCTGCTGCAGTCTGAGCCCTGGCCTGAATGTTGATGTGTCAAAGGCTCAGCTCTGAAACAATAAACATGCCTGGTTTGTGGAGGGGGTTGTGCTGACCAGGACTGGCATGGATTGTTCTGTTAGGAGGTGTTATGGTGTCTTGCAGTACTCCCTGGGGAAGGGACGTATCTTTGGGACATGTCCTTGGCTTGAGTTTTCAGCACTGTATTACTGACATTTCACAGGCACGATCACCAGCAGTGACATGAGTTTGTGTGGCAGGAGAGCAGATGGGCTGCTGGGGTGTCTGTGGGACCTAGGGACGGTTCCTGTTGCAGTTGGTGTTTCCAGGAGGTTGAACCAGCCCCCAACATCATGCTCACACCCTGGCCTTGTGTTTCAGATTGTGCCTGGTGACCCCTTGGACAAGAGCATCGTCATCCGGCCGCTGGAGCCACAGCCAGCCCCACACCTGGCCAGGGAGTTCATGATCAAGACCAGGCGCAGGAAGGTATGTCTGGCACAAATCCCTGTGGTGTGCCTCTGTCCCAGCAGCTGAGCAGTTGCAGTGTTGTCCCTTGGCTGTGCCACATCCCCTCTGTGTTCCCAGAGTGATCTGATGGCCTTTGTGCCCCAGGACCTCCCCCATGCTGCCCATCAGAGCCTGTCAGTCCCATCAGTGACTCCAGTCCAAAATGTGGCCTCTGCTGAGCCCTGCTCCCTTCCCAGCCCCTCTGAGCCTGGTGTAGCCCCCTTGTCCAGCAGAAACAGCAGAACTGGTTTCTGTGCTGCGTTAGTGAGCTGGACTGAGGGGATGCAGAGGGAATCAAGCCCTCCTGTGGGGAGCAGTGAGCTGGTAGATGTGCTCAGCAGCAGAAACCACATATTTGCAGGTTCCTGAGGAGTGTTAGATGCCTTCAAGCTGCAGAGGAGCACCTCATGCGTGTTTTGGAGCATGAAAAATTACCTTGCTGTGGGACACAAGGTCTCTTCAGTGGGCTCTCTGGGCAGTGGCTGTATGGGGAATAACCCTGGCTTTGTGTTACCTGCAGGGCCTGAGTGAGGACGTGAGCATCAGCAAGTTCTTCGACGACCCCATGTTGCTGGAACTGGCCAAGCAAGACGTGGTTCTCAACTACCCCATGTAACCCTGCTGCCCTGGCATGGGGGCTGACCCGAGCCCTGGCTGGCACCTGCCAGTCCTTCCCCATCCCTGCTTGCCCAGCCCTGGCTCCTGGAGGCTCAGGGCAGGCAGGGAGCGGCTCCTCAGGTCACTCCCATGGCTCTAGGAGTCTCCATGGACCAATTGTGGGCATTTCCATGCGGGGAGCAGTCCAGACCCCGAGCCTGATCCATTTTGTATTGTTAGTCTCCAGCTGCTGTTGCCTCCAGTGAGGTTTTCCTTTTGGATAGGCTCCTCCAGCTCACGGAGCTGAGCAGTGTCAGGATGGATTCCTGAGGACTGGGCCTCAACTGTGTCAAGCATTTCAGGCAGCTGAGAAAGGGGGGATGCTGGGGGGACAGTGCTTTACCAGCTTTCTGTACCCCTTTTTTGAACCCTTTTAAACGTTTAGTACAAACTTCCAGGCTGGGCTTAGTCTGATTGTGCCTAGACATGGCAGTGTTGGGGGAGGCTCTGCTCTCCCAGTGCTTCCAGTATACCCAGTCGGGATTTCTCCCACCCTCAGCCCCAGTTCCCCCTGGCCTCAGCACTGTAGCACTCCCAAGGACTCCCTGTCTCCCAGCTCTCTCACTCCTGCCTGTGGTAGTGAATGGACCAGCCACCCCAGGCCTGTTCTTTTCCTTTCTTGCTCAATCTTGCCAAGTTTTTAGTGATTTCATCAGCTGCTCATCATCTGGGAAGTTTTTGGTGCTCCCTGTCCACTTCCCTGCTCTGTCTCTCTCTGAACTCTGCCCCAGTTGTGTCCCAGGTGTGTGATGTGGAACAGGGCTGAATGTCTCCTGGGGCCATTCCTGCCCTCCTAGGGGCCTGGCCCTGCCCTGATGCTGCTGTGCTGAGTTTTGGCAGCCTCATCCATCCCAGCAACGCCCCTGAGAACCTGTCCCAGAGCATCCCTGTGCTCAGTGGGGCTTGAGATGGCTCCGGGCTGCCAGTACGGGGAGCAGAGAGTAAAGCTGAGGACAGCCTCCTCCCCCCACTCCCAAAACCTGCCAGCTGCTGGTGGAAACTGGGAGGCACTGGGCTGACAAGCACAGGATAGGAAGCATCCATGGAAAAGCACATCCAGCCATTCCAGCAGGTGCTGGGTCTGCGGAAACTGCATCTTGTGGGGGATAATTCAGGCCAGTGGAGCATCAAAAGCAGGGAGGGAGAGGATTTCCTGTCAGCTGACATTGGTGTCACCCCCCCAGGCCAAATTGCTGCCCCACCCCATGGCCCAGCAGGAGCGGTTCTGGCCCTAGCAGCAGGCTCAGCTTTTCCAGGGATGCAGTCCTGCTTCTCCAGCCCTAGCTCAGCCTTTCCTGCAGGGCCGTGCCAGGAGGGTCCCCCTCACCTCCCACATCTGCCCTGGCACCGTGGCCTCACCCATGGCGTGTTCCCCCTCTGTCCTGGGGGAAAGTGGGGCTCAATCCTGCTTGCTGCAAGCAGAATACAGCCCTGGCACCCCCAAGGCTGCGCTGGGCGTGTTTAGCACCTCCCAGTACAGCCCAGCACCAAACTGGGCCCCCAGAGCCGGCGTGGGAAGGACCCGGTTCTCACACCGCCCTTCCCACAGCTGGAAACCGCTGGCCCTGCCACTGAGCTGGGGATTTTCCGCGGAAACAGCTCTGCCCTGGCAGCTGCCCTGACCCCAGCTCCTGTCCTGCGGCTGGAATTTCCCCACCACACAAAGGATCTGTGCGGGTGCAGGATGCCCTAAGCCATGTGCCTGTCCCAGCTGTGGTGCAGGTAAACTGAGGCACGTGGAATCACGCCCTGGGGAACTGGGGGCTCCATCTGTGACACGAGTTGGTCAGGGCTCAGTTCTGGGACACTCCCCAGGGGATGTGCCCCCACCCTCAGCAATGACTGACCCTGTGCTGACCCCCCCCCCCCGAGTTGTTCTTGTTTGTCCCCATCCCGGGGTCTTGGGAGGTCCCCACACGATCTGGCACCTTGAGCAGCCATCTCCTCGTGGGATGAGCCCTCACCCTGTGCCGTGTCCCTATTTCCATCCTGCTCCCGGGGAGCCTGACTGCAGTCCTGCTTCTACTGTCCTCATGCCTGTCTTGCTCCCAGTGCCTCCACCCTGGTCCTGGTGTCCCTGTCCACCGCCCCATTCCCACTGTCCTGCTCTCTCCATTTCAATCTTGCTGCCATTGTCCCCATCACCCATTCTGCTCCCAGTGCCTCCATAATTTTCCTACTCCCCGTGTCCCAATCCCCTGTCCCAGTGTCCTTGTCCCTTTCTTGATCCCATTTCCCCCATCCTGCCCCTGTTGTTCATCCTGTTTCCACTCTCCCCTATGTCCTTGAGCTCATCCTGCTCGCAGTGCCTGTGTCCCTGCTTCTGATTTCCCCATCCCACCCTTGTCCTGTCCCTATCCTGCTCCCAGCATCCTTGGTTTCCTCCCTGCTCCTGATGTCCCCATCCTGTTCCTGGAGTGCCTGTCCTGCTGCCCATGTCCCTGTCCCAGACCTCCACCCTGTTCTTGGTGTCCCTTGTCCCCATCCTGTCCCTTTCCTGTGCTCTATGCCCCTGTCTCCACCCTGTTCCTGATGCTCTCATTCTGCTCCAGATGCCCCCATCCCCACACCTGTCCCAGTACCCCCATCCTGCTCCTGCTGTCCCTGTCCACAGCCCTGCTCCCAGTGTCCCCATCCTTGTCCTGCTCTCCATGTCTCTGTCCCAGTCCTGCTTCCTGTGTCCTCATTCCCCTTCTGGTCCTGCTGCCCCCATCCCACCCTGGCCCAGTCCCTGTCCTCATCCTATTCTTGCTATTCCCATCCCCATCTTGCTCTCAGTGTCCCCATTCTGCTCTGCTCCTGTCCCTATCCTGCTTCCAATGTCCTTGTCCCCACCCTGTTTATGGTGTCCTTGTCCACAGCCCTGCTCCAGTGTTCCTCCCTATTCCTGTCCTGCTCTCCATGTCCTGTCCTGCTCTGTGTCCTTGTCCCTATCCCCCTGCTGTGTCCCCATCCTGACCCTGCTTGGTGTCCTTGTCCCTATATCCCATCCTGACCCTAGTCCCGTGTCATTGTCCCTGTCCCCCGCCGTGTTCCCCTGGTGGCCCAAGTCCTGTGTCCTTGTTCCTGTCCTTTCTCCTGACCCGTCCCGTGTCCTTGTTCCTGTCCCCTCTCCTGACCCCTGTCTCGTGTCCCTGTCCCTGTTCCGTTCTGTGTCCCCATTCCCTATCCCGTGTCCCCTGTCCCGTGTCCCTGTCCCCTGTCCCGTGTCCCCTGTCCCGTATCCCTGTCCCGTTCCCTGTCCCCGTTCCCTGTCCTGTGTCCCGTGTCCCCGTGTCCCTGTTCCCCGTCCCTGTCCCGTGTCCCTGTCCTGTGTCCCTGTCCCGCCCGTGTCCCTTGTCCCACCCGGGTCCCCGCTCCCGTTCCCCGTTCCGTGTCCCCGTTCCCTGTCCCCGTTCCCGTTTCCCTGTCCCCTGTCCCCGTTCCCTGTCCCGTGTCCCCTGTCCCGTGTCCCTGTTCCCATTCCCTGTCCCTGTCCCGTGTCCCCTGTCCCGTTCCCTGTCCCGTGTCCCCTGTCCCGTGTCCCTGTCCCGTTCCCTGTCCCGTGTCCCTGTCCCTGTCCCGGTCCCGCCCGTGTCCCTGTCCCTGTCCCGTTCCCTGTCCCGTGTCCCTGTCCCGTGTCCCCTGTCCCGCCCGTGTCCCTGTCCCTGTCCCGTTCCCTGTCCCGTGTGTCCCTGTCCCGTCCCTGTCCCGTGTCCCTGTCCCTGTCCCGGTCCCGCCCGTGTCCCTCGCTCCCCGCCCGGCCCGCGCTCGCTGAGGGGACTCCGCGCATGCGCCCCGCGCCCCCCGCCCGGGCTCGGCGGCCGAGGGGCCGCGGCGCCGCCACGGGCCGGACCCGGTGAGTGGGGCTGAGGGCGCGGCGGGACCGGGCCGGGCCGGGCGGGCGCCTGAGGGCTCCGAGCGGCGCCGCCCGAGGGGCCGGAGCCACGGGGGACGGCGGGGGGCTGAGGGGACCGAGCGGCCGTTCCGGGGCACCGGGAGGCGGGAGCCCGAGGGCAGCCGCGGGCCCCGAGGGGACGGAGCCGCGGCGGGCTGAGGGCGGCGGGACCGAGCCGGGCGGAGCGGGGGATCCGCAGGCGGCGGGATGAGCGAGGGCCGGTGTCACCCCGGGCTGCCCTCCGCCTTCCCCGCCGCCTTCCGCGCTCCGGGACGGGCCTCTCCGGGTGTTTATCCCGGGGAAGCGGTGCCCGAAGGGCTTTCCCGGGGAGCGCCGGTGCCCGCCCGCGGCTGCACGTGTCGGGCCCCCGGGTGGTGAACGGAGCGCTGCGAGCGCGGGAACGGAGAGATCGCACCGGGAGAGGCCACCCGTGTCACCCTGTGCCCACCGTTCCTCCCGTGTCACCTCCGTGCCCACCGCTCCTCCCGTGTCACCCTGTGCCCACCGCTCCTCCCGTGTCACCCTGTGCCCACCGCTCCTCCCGTGTCACCCTGTGCCCACCGCTCTTCCCGTGTCACCTCCGTGCCCACTGCTCCTCCCGTGTCACCCTGTGCCCACTGCTCCTCCCGTGTCACCTCCGTGCCCACCGCTCCTGCTGTGTCACCCTGTGCCCACTGCTCCTGCCGTGTCACCCTGTGCCCACTGCTCCTTCTGTGTCACCTCTGTGCCCACCTCTCCTCCTATGTTACCTCTGTGCCCACTTCCTCTCCTGTGTCACCTCCATGCCCACCTCTCCCTCCAGTGTCACCTCTGTGCCCACCTCTCCCTCCCGTGTCACCTCCGTGCCCACCTCTCCTCCCGTGTCACCCCTGTCCCCCTCCCGGCTCCGGGCAGGCCGGGGCTCACGGATCCCGTGCCAGCTGCTGAGGCTCCAGCGCAGTCCCTGGAAGCAGCAGCTCCTGCCCAGAATTCCTGCCTGGATAAACCCTCCCAGCGCTGCTGGCAGCCGGAGCCAGCCCTGCCTGGAGCTGACGGGCCGCAGCCCTGCCGTTTGGCATTGCTTGAGGAAATACTTTTCCAGCTCCAGGAGTGTTTGGACAAAGCTCTCAGGCACGTGGTGGGACTGTTGGGGGTGTCCTGTGCAGGGCCATCAGTTTGGCTTGATGACCTTGTGTGTCCCTTCTCACTGAGGACATTCTGTGATTCTCTGTGCAGAGCACAATGAGAAGAATCCTGCTCTTGTGTCAGATGAGAGTTTTGGCCTCCGTTGGGCCTGACTTTCACCCAGCGTCATAAAATTTCACAGGAATGACATTTGTGCAGCTATTTTTACTGTCCTTTTAAAGGCAATTCTCATTTCTGTTGGTAGGAATTAGTCCTGACACTTTCTGGACAGTGTGACCTTAGTTCACAGTGAAGTGCTGATTTTGTTCCACCATCAAATTAATTACAAATAGGAGATAGTTCATAGGGATTAATTAGGGCATGGATGTACCATATGGATTCTGGAGCAACAGTTGCAACCACCAGGTTCTGATTTTTCATTGGGTGTTTGATTGGTATTTGGAAATGAGAGAGAGAACAAAACCCTTCTGTCTGACAGACCGTTGATTGTTGTTATTATTTCCATGTTTCCTGTCTGCTCTAAGTCAAGGATAATTGGTTAAGAAAAACCCCAAACTGTCCCTTCCTGTTAGAAATCCGTGTCCTGGGGATGTTCAATGAACCAGCTGTCAGCACAGTTACCAAACCCTCTGCTCTTCAGGTCATTTAAGGGAAAAAGTTGTTGTTTTCTGTCAGGACTCGTGTTTAGGAAAATGCAAGGTGCCTTTCTCTGTATTTTTGGTACTTCCCATGTTGTTCCAAAGTTGTGCTTGTGCTTTCCTGAGGTCAGCTGTGTGCTGGAAAGAGGGATGGGAATTTCAGAAAGGAATTTGAGCCTCACTGTGCTGTTTGACTCCGAGGGAAAGTCCTGCGACGGAGCTCTGCGGTCACTGGTGGCTCCGTGGGGGTGGCCTGAGCTGTCACATTCTGGTGCCTGGCGAATACGAGAGCTGCAGTGAGGGGCTGGCCTGGGTGACAGCGGGTGCAGCGCTGGAGTGCTGAGCTCTGTCTCCCCGTGGCTGCCAGGGCAGCGGGCAGGGGCACCGGGCATGTCTGCGGGCATGGAGGTGGCCAGGTAAGAGCTGAGGGGCTGGGGCTGGGCTGGGGGCTGAGCTTTTCTGGGGCTCCTTCACAGAGAAGAACCCTTTGCAGGGTGTCTCTCCAGAATCAGGAACTTATCTGACATTTCCAAATTGAAATGCCAGTGCATGGGGCAAAGGAGAGCACAGTGACAGGTCCCTTTGGAGGATTCACCCACGTGGAACTTGTTTGTCAAGAGCGTCTCTGTTTTTTGGGCTGTGTTGGAAACACAGCTGCTCCTTGGAGTTTGTCTTTTTGAAATGGGTTTATCAAGGTTTAGATCAGTTTGAGCGATGAGAAGTTATTAGAAACATTTTGCTGACCAAAGGGTCTGACTGCCTTCAGTGCTTTTAGACTAGAGTTTGTAAGTTTGTCCTTCCATTGATGGAGGAGACTATTGAGTTATTACTAGTGGAAGCATTTTCATTTACAAATCTAAGTGTTTTTTTTTAATTTATACAACAATATTACATTTTTTTTGGTTTTTTAAAGCAACTCACAGGTCTGAGTAAAGGATTCTACACAAGGAATTGACATGAAATACCTCTTTATTACATGTATACCATCCTCAGACCTTCATTAAGGGACTTTTTTTGCCCCTCACTTCAAACTCATCACAAATAATGTGCAAGTGATGCAAATACTGGTAAATAACTGGAAAATTTGGGTCAAGGACTGAGAGCACAGCGCTTGCTTTGAACAAGGCAGAGAGGAGCCCCAAGAGGGTTGGGAATGTGAGGAATTCTAGGGGTCCCAGCCCTTGCTAGGGGGGAAGTTAAAATACAGATGCTGGGCAAATTGAGACCAATTTTAAGAATTTATTTTGGTACACCACGGAGAGTTTTAATTATAGGCACAGTTTTTCTAAAAAATTCTGTGGTTCTAAAGGCAATTGGTGTGGAAATTATACTGTTTACGTGAAACTTCATCTTAAAAAGTTTTTTTGGGTTTGGATGGTTCTAGAGTTTACAAGAACAAATTTCTTATAAGCTCTGAAATTTAATCACCGATGGAGAGTTTGTGATGAATTTTAACACCTACATTTGTTGATTTAGTAATCTGCTGACTGCCAGCAACTTCTGTGAGTCAAAAAAATCCCCAAACTTTCCTCGTTCACCACTTTTGCCAAGGAAAGGATGAGATCCAGTGCCTGAGGTTGTACCTAGGATTGATCCAGCCACTTAGGATCCGCAGAGCAGCTAAGGAACACCCAGTTAGGAGCTGGATAATCCAGAAGGTGCCTTCCTTGGGTGTGTTATGGATTGGGTCACTGAAAATCCAGTGCCTTGGTGCTTCTCTGGGGAGCTGGAGAATCCAGAGCCACAGGGGCTCAGTGGTGGTGCTGATGCCTCGCTCCTGACCCAGCTGTGATGCTGGAGAGCGAGCAGCCCTTATGGAATACTGAGCTTTCCATGGAGAGCTGCTGGAGCACCACAGAGTGTGTGAACCCAGGCAGACCCTGCTCGCTGGGGTGAATTTTGGTGATTTGTGGTCATTGGCACCTGCAAAGGGCTGAGTAAAGAAGTGATGGACTCAGGAGGTGGACTTGGATGATCTTTGTGGGTCTTTCCCAGCTCAAGATATTCTGTGATTCTCAGAAATCAGCCTCACCACCAGCGTGGAGCTGGGGAGAGGGGACTGCTCTTGTGGCTCTTTCCTTACACCACTTCACATTTCAGCAGCTTTTTTGAAGGTGGAAAGCACAAGGAGCGCTGCCCTGTTCAAGGTGCCTCTCTAGTGCCTCACCCTTCCTGCTGGGACAGGATTCCCTGAACCCCAGCGGGAACTCAGACAAGGGTGGCGATCATTAAACACTTGGAGTGAAACCCTTTTGGATAATGGACCCCTTTGTTGTCCCTGCCGGGGGATGGGCACTGCTGCCTCATTAGGGGGAAGGTGATCCTTTGCTCCCACCCTGCTTCCAGCCTTTGTGTTCTGTGCTGCCACTCCACAGAGTTGACTTGTGCTCCAGATTTATGTATTTTTAATCTGCCTAATAGGAAGCAAATTATTGCCGTTCAAAAAGTTCCACTACAATTTCCTGATTTTTATGGTGGCTCTACTTTGTCCCTGCTGACCTGCCCAGGGAAGCACATCCCTGAGATACAGATGGTCCCTGGACCCCACTGCCAGCCCCTCACGGGTGGCTGCACGGCCACCTCTGTGTGGAAGGGAGTGAAGGTTTTATTGCAGAAGCCCCTGGCATTTATCAGTGTTTCCAGCTGGTCTCAGCACTTCCCTCCAGCAGCAGGAGTGCAATTCCTCTGTGCTTTTTATCGGCTCAACTTATGGTTAATAATGGTCAAAATGTATTAAATCACATTTCACTCGCTGTGTTCAGTATTGCTCAATACGTAATTCCTGCTCTTGAAAAAAAAACATGTTTTTAAAATGTCAAAATCACCAAATTTCCCATTCACTGCCCGTTCTTGGTCCTGTTTTTGGGAGGCTCGTTGCTTTCCATTAAAAGCTACGAAAAGGAATTTATCTCCAAAATGCTTCTTGGAGGCAAAAGGGCAATGTTTGCATTTCCTTTTCTGACCTCCTCATACCATAAATATGAATTGTTATTGCTGCTCGGGTAGTGACACACAGTTCTTCCCAAATTCAGGACTGTCTGGAAGATCTGGTTGGGAATTTTTAGAACTTGACTTTGTTTTGGCATAAAATGAATATTTCAGGTGAAAGTTTCTGGATGGGGTTTGGGATAATTAACATATGCAATGTTTGTCTGGGCAGTTGTGACCTTACTGATGATTCCTGGTGAAGGAAATACTGAGAATGGCAAAAAGAAATCCCTTTTCCTTCTGCAGACATAGACAACTTGGTTTCATACCTCAGTACTGGCCAGGAATTCCTCAGTGATTCTGTCTCAAGGAAGAATGTGATTCCGTTTCAAAGCAGAACCCAGGGTTTTGAGCAATAACACAAGTTACAAGGTTTTCTGGCTATAAATAAAAATCTATATTTGGAAAAAACAAATAGTGTATTTATGGACAAAACTGTATTAAAGGAAATGTGATGGAAAAATTGAGTCAGATGAGCTGATGTATGAAGCATTTCCCTCTGGAGTCATTGGGCTGAAAAATGTTTTATATGCCTAAACTTGAACAGATGCTTCAGCACACACACACACACACACACACACACACACAGTCCTCCCCCGGTTCATATTAGCAGTTCTACTCATACCACTGTGATTAATTCTCAGACCAGCCTGGTTTAGGCTCTTTTCCTGGGGCTCCAGGGTATTTCCAGATCATCCAGGTACTTAAGCCATGCTTAGCTGTAAATAAGCGAGCAGCCCGGATTATTAGCGGGATTTGTTTCAAGCTTTGCATTAGGCATGTGTTTAAATGACTCACTGAGCTGGGATTTACATTTCTACACCGGAGTGAAGGATTTCTCTCTATTACCTTGCCTAGATGGAAATTGGTGGAGTCAGCCAGCTTTTTTGCCTAAACAAGTCCGTGAAACCAGCTTTGGGCTCTTACAGTTATTAATTCCGGCTTTTTAGTTACAAATTTGTCAGAAAACAAGTCTGTGTGTGCGTGCCTGACCTCGATGGAGATCCTGAGGAGGACTGAAGGAAGGAGGGAGGGAGGCATCCATATGGATGACCAGCAGATTGTGCCTTGTGTCCTTTCCAGTCTGAATGTTGAATGCTCAGTCAGTGGTGCTGGAGGAGGCTGACAACTGCATTTGGTTATTTTCCATTGAGTCCCTGCTCTTGTGTCCCACTCAGCCACAATCTGCTGTCCTGGGGTGCAGGGTTTGCCTGCACAGCATTCCCTCTCCTCTGAACATCCCCAAAATCTTCCCCAAAAGTGCCACGTCTTGAGGATTCTTCTGTCCACTTTGCTTTTCTGATGAAGGAATGTAGAAAAATGACTTCTGGGTGTAAACAGGGATCTGGCTGTGGTGTGCCTCAGCTCCTGCAGTCTGAGGGATGGTGCTGGTGGCAGCAGGGGATGGATGGAACTCCTGCCTGCGGTGACATCCCGGCATGAGTGGTGCAGCCCTGCCAGACTCGGAGCAGCCATCGCCTGTGAAGTTCTGTATCTCTCTCATGCTTAAAATAGTCAAGAGCCTGGAAGGGTGATTGTGTGTCTTGTGTGTGCCCATGTTCCCTTGAGGGGGAGTTTTGACTCCCTGTTAACTCCTGGAAGCCTGGCTCTGCTGTGGGTTCAGAGACACAAATGACACCCAGCACTGCGTAGTCCCGAGGTGAGAGATGTGTCTGTAGGCAGGGAAGGATGTGGGTGTAGGTTGTGCACATGGGGCTGGCCTTGGTGTCACTACATGTTTTAATGGCATAAAATTAAAATGACTTGGTGTCAGTACATGTTTTAATGGCATAAAATTAAAATGGTTGAAGTTCCTTATGTTTCTTGCAGCTGTGCTACCCTGCATGCAGCATGTACTCCTAAAAATCTAAAAATCTCCTGATTCTCGTGGTAAACATTGAAGTAGTTGAGAAATGACTGAATTTAATTTGCAGGAGTTACTCAGCTGGTGCTCAGATATGGAGTTAAACTATTTTGAAATTAGAAGAATTTTCACGGTGGAAACTGTGATTCCTGAGATATTATAAAGCAAAATAAAATTGAAGTGTTTGGGAGGAAGCACATGGCGATCTTCCACAAAGCCATATGGAAATTATCTTTATTCCATGGTTCGTGTGAAGTCTTTGCTCCTTCTGGAGCTGACTTGGAGCCTCCTCCTCAGTGCTGTCCCCAGCTTGGTTTGTATTCCTCGCCTGTTCTTGCTCTCTTTGCAATCTGTGACCAAACCAGATCGATCCAGGTGTCTGCAGGATCCGATTCCCTGGAGGGCTGTGCTGGAGGGCCGTGGACAGGAATAAATCATGGCTGCCCTTCAGGTGTTCTGACTGCCTGGGATCATCTGGCACATGCAGCATTCCAGGGGGCTGGAACTGAGCAGTGGTAACAGCTCCTGTACCAATTCTGTTCCCTTTGGCGTCTGCTGCTTCCT